TTTGAAAATTTTCTGTTTTCTGATAAGATCTGTAGGACTGTATATATACAGTTTGAAACTTACTAGTATTACTGTATAAATGAAGTTTGGAATTTACTGTTCATTATTAGACATTTTGTAGATAATTAAGTGTCCATTAATCATATATATTCTTACCCCTACCCCCTTCAATTTGATAATGTGCATTTATCTTGTAAACGTTTGAGATCCCTTCTCCTAAACCACATATATTCTTGTATGGGACAATAAAACAAATCAAATGAAATATTGGGATAGTCCTCGGGTTCACAGCTACCCTCCTTTTTTTTTGAAAACTTGTAAATGTGCAAGCTCCCCACCCTGAAACCATATATATTCTTGTATGTTACAAATCAAATGAAATAAAAGGTGAGTCCCCTGGGGTCACCCCCAGCGTGTCTGTTTGAGAACTTGTAAACGGTCGAGATCCCCACCCCTAAACCATATATATTTTTGTATGGGACAATAAAAGAAATCAAATGAAATATAGGGGAAGTCCATTGTGGTAACCCCCCACCCCCTTCTGTTTGAGAAATTGTAAACGGTTGAGATCCTCACCCCTAAACCATATTTATTCTTGTATTTGACAATAAAACAAATCAAATAAAATTTAGGGGAAGTCCACAAGGGTAAACCCCACCCCCTTCTTTTTGAAAACTTGTAAACGGTTGAGATCCCCACCCCTAAACCATATATAATCTTTTTTGGGACAATAAAACAAATAAAATGAAATTTAGGGGATGTCCCCTGGGGTAACCCCCACCCCTTTTTTTTGAAAATTTGTAAACAGTCAAGATCCCCACCCTGAAACCATTTTTCTTCTTGTATATTATAATAAAACAAATCAAATGAAATAAAAGTCGAGTCCCCTGGGGTCACCCCCACCTTTTTCCTGTTTAACTTGTAAATGGTTAAGATCCCTCACCGCTAAACCATATATATTCTTGTATGGGACAATAAAACAAATCAAATGTAATATAGGGGAAGTCCATTGGGGTAATCCCCACCCCCTTCTTTTTGATAGCTTGTAAACGGTCAAGATTCCCACCCAGAAACCATATATATTCTTGTATGGGACAATATATCAAAATAAATGAAATATAGATGAAGTCCAAGGGGGTAAATCCCAACCCCTTCTTTTTGAAAACTTGTAAACGGTTGAGATCCCCACCCCTAAACCATATATATTCTTGTATGGGACAATAAAACAAATCAAATGAAATTTAAAGGAAGTCCACGGTGGTAAACCCCACCCCCTTCTTTTTGAAAACTTGTAAACGGTTGAGATCCACACCCTAAACCATATATATTCTTATATGGGACAATAAAATAAAGCAAATTAAATTTAAGGGAAGTCCCCTACTCTCCTTTTTTTTGAAAACTTGTAAACAGTCAAGATCCCCACCGCGAAACCATATATATTCTTGTATATTACAATAAAGCAAATGAAATGAAATAAAAGGCGAGTTCCTTGGGGTCATTCCCACCTTCTTCCTGTTTAAGAACTTGTAAATGGTCGAGATCCCCGCTCCTAAACCATATATATCCTTGTATAGGACAAAAGTAAACAGTAAAATATTCTAAAATTCTACTTTTGGATATTAAAAATGGCGATAACTCACAAAGGAGATATACTAAAATCTTGAAAATTAATAGAGACCTTCATTAAGTCCCAGGAAGCAACATATTTAAATTTGAAAAAAATTTGTTAAAGTGTTTTCATGTTATTGTGCTGACACTGTTTGGCAGCCGCCCGAACCGCCCAGCCGCCCGCCGTATATCACCATTTTAATAACCAATATTTCCTTCGAAAATCCGGTTAAAAACTTAACTTTTACCACTGAACCATGAAAATGAGGTCAAGGTCAGATGACACCTGACAGTTGGACATGTACACCTTACAATCAGTACATACACCAAATAGAGTAGACCTATTGCGTATTGTATCTGAGATATGGACTTGACCACGAAAACTTAACCTGATCCATGAAATGGGGTTGAGGTCAAGTGAAAATGTCTCACAGGCATGAGGAACTTGCAAGGTACACACATACCAAATTTAGTTATCATATTACTCATAATAAGAGAGAAATTACCATTACAAAAAAATCTTAACCTTTTTTTCAAGTAGTCACTGAATCATAAAATGAGGTCAAGGACAATTGACATATGACAGACGGAAACTTCATATCATAAGGCATCTATATACAAAGTATGAGGCATCCAGGTCTTCTACCTTCTGAAATATTAAGCTTTTAAGAAATTAGTTAACGCCGCCGCCGGATCATTATTCTTATGTCGAGCTTTCTGCGACGACAATAAAAATGAGGTCTAGATCAGATGAACCCTTACAGACAGATACGTCCACTGTATAATCATTCCTTTCACCAAATATAATAGACCGACTTCTTATTTTATCTAAGAAAGCCACCTTATCACAAAAACTTAATATTGACCACTGATCCATGTAATGAGGTCAAGGTCAAAGTCTGTCAAGACCAGAATCTCATAACTGAAAAATCCTATGACAGTCGCTTAACCATAAAAATGAGGTCGAGGACAACTGATATTTGTCACACGATAAGCATCCCTATTTCAATCAAATCTGAGCACTAAGAATTGTTTACTTGTTTAAATTTTTCACCCCCTTTTTTTTTTAACCTGAACTAAAATTTATTAAAATTGGTGTTCCAATTTAAAACAAACAAGTATGTGTCCATAGTACACAGATGTCCCACTCGCACTATCATTTTCTATGTTCAGTGGACTGTGAAATTGGGGTCAAAACTCTAATTTGGCATTAAAATTAGAAAGATCATATCATAGGGAACATGTGTACTAAGTTTCAAGTTGATTGGACTTCAACTTCATCAAAAACTACCTTGCTAGAAATTTTTAACCTGAAGTGGGACAGACGGACGGACGAAATAACAAACGGACTGATAGACCGAAAAACATAATGTCCCTAAACTATCGTAGGTGGGGCATAAAAATGAAGTGTAAAATTGAGAGCAAATGGGATTTCTGTATTGTGAAATCACCGGTTGGATGATCTCTAGTTATTGCCCAGAAACCACATGAAGTGCCCTTTTCCAATCCAAAAAGGAGCTTTGCTCCTGAACCACAGAAGTAAAACTAGTCAATATCAAACTTTGACCTCCATTCTGTGATCAGTAACAACATATTAAAATACGAAAAGCATTGGTTGAATGGTTCTCAAAATTTTGCCTTGACACGACATGAAGTGATATTTTCCAATCAAGCAAAGACCATAAATTCTGAACAACAAAGATAAAATTATCAATTTCAAACATGACTTCCATTCTGAGATCGATTGTAAAACAAAAAAAATGAAAAGTATTAGTCTAACGGTTCATAAGATAGAGTATGAAATAAGCTAGATCTGCACGATCACTCTCCTGCTCGCCATACAACCTCAGATAAATGACTGGCTTCCGGTCAGAAAACTTTGATAAATATTCCATTTTTTTACACCAGGAAACAGTTTTAATAGCATATCATACCTATACATCAATTTTATCACATTTTTCTTTTAAATCTATACATTCCAAAAGACCTTCCTTTTATAGATATATTGTGTGTAAATATCATTGAAATCAGTCGAGGAAAGCTTGACTTAACATACAATATAGGAGTGCTGATGAACGGCCAAACTGACAGACAGAGTAATTACTATAGGACAAAGCCAACAAGTCAGTGGGGCCATAAAAATGACAACACCATCAAGCAAAATGTCATACTTGAATAAAAAGCTCTTAAGATGCAACTCAATTTTTTCATAGTTGATTTGGGCATGTTTACATAGACACAAGTACTGAGAACAACATTTTACTGATTTAGTGACTTACACAGCTACATACAGGTTGGTGAGATGATGCCTTAGGAAAGGAACTGCTGTAACCTCGACCTCAGACTCTTACCTCAAAATATACTGAGTTCTTTTTACCCCAAGGTGCATAATCCCAGTCAAAATTGGTAAAAAAATATTGTCCTGAAACAACTCCAGAACATCAGGGTATTTATAAGCTCTGTGAATAGGGGTGTTGCTCTTTCCAATGGTCATTTTCAAGCTTACCTGGTGAAGGTAAGACATATGGGTAAAAAAGAGATCATTCCAGAAACCAGAACATTTGTTCCAATTTCAGACTTATCAATTGCTATGATATGGCCCTCAACAGCGATCTCATAAAATAATAGAGTTCTTAACTATTTGGGGAATTTTCAATGTAAGTTTAGTAAAAGTATTGTTTATGACACAAACTATACTATCTGGAAACTGAAATGTTTAAGCCCAGAAAATAGTTATAATATTGTATGCCAAGTTGTGCCATGTTTGTGTTATAACTCAGCTAATTAAATATTAAATGTTCAGAACAGAATTGAATTAAACCATGTACAATTTTTTTTAAATTATCAACAAAATACAATTCAAGAAAACACTGGCAAACAATGTAAGTGACCTTACATGATTTTTCTAGGAGTCTAATGCTATGATATGGAAATATCACAAATGACATGAATATTTATTATCAAAGATTCAATTAATGTTCCTGCATCTTTTCAAATCGTGTTCTCCTTTCTTTGCATAAATAGACTCTGAAATTTTTGGGTGCTTTTATTATTGTTACTGTTTATTATTTCAATTTAAGAAAATACTGCATACAAATAAAGGCTTTTGCAAAACCTATCCTGTTGAAATTTACGAAACAATCAAAACATCACAAAAATTTCTGAATTTACAGTATTCTGGAAGGATCAGTCATAAAGTAAACAACTGTCTCGGTATACGCTGATTTCATGGTCCATTGTAAAGTCCTATAGACAAAAAGGATACAACTTTTCAAGTCTTGTCCAGTCTCTTAAAAATATTTCTCCCTTGCTCTGGAAAACATCTCGACATTCCTTGTAATTATATATATAAAATCTGGTAAGGCCAAAAAATGAAAAAGAAGACATTAAAATTATGTTTTGTTATTTTTATATTTATATACATAATAATCTTGTTTAAATTCATTATTTATTCAAATTAAAATTAATATACACTAAAATCTGTCAGGATCAACATATTAACAATACTGGAATATGAAAGCTGTACTTGTACAGGTATGATAAATTTTCCGAATGAGAGTTTGTCTTGGAAAAGAAACACATATGTCTACAATATATATCTAATTATATGGTCATACATTACAAATACTCTTTTTGAATCTAATATATGACAATCCGGGTACAATAGTGAGATGATTCATGTACACTTTGGAAATATATGTCACTAAATGCATAGGTAGCCTGCTGATACAAGTCAAATGTTATTTATGTAAAAATTTTGAAAAGATAGAAATTTCAATATTACTTTTTATATCTGGCATAACTTGAAAAACATAGTCATACTCATTATCTTCAAACCCAAAACTTGACCAACTCCTTATCAAGAAAAATAAATCATCCTCTCCTCTTATGGAATGTTTAACATGATATGTTCTTTTATAATACTAATGAAACATTTAATCAAGTCAGCATTTCATAATTACTGCAGTACTGGAAACCAACTAATTTTTGTGAGCAATTTATTTCGTGACTTTCAAGAGTACAAACATCGTTCTAAAATTAATTGGAGCCAATTAGTATTTTCTGTTACATGAATACATTTTGTACATCCGCAAAGTAAGAACATGATGAAAATATATTGTTGCCAAGTCCAATAGAAAAGGCTAAACGTGAAAAAAATATCCACAAAAATTAGTTGATCTACAGTATTAATTATCTGAAAGAACCAGTAAACCATTTTTTTAAAAGTACATTGTAGTTGTTCATTATAACTATCCAGCCCATACGTCCGGCCATATCTTTTAATGATAACAGCTAACAGAAAATAAATTACAAGTAGATATCAATACAAGTACAATCATATAAATTAATATAATTTATACTCAAAATCAAAGTTTGTAGAGTTGACTGTTGTAGATTAACATTCTGATCACATGAAGACAGTTCTTCTGTAATATTCCATTATTAAACTGTCTAAAGAATTATAGACATAAATCAAAACATAATAGTTTGATTTCTCACTTAACCTTTCCATGTGTCTACTACTTTAACATAAATAAACATCTACAAAAATTGTGAACAGGGCTCACATATTCATACCCTCAACCACATTTGTATCTATGGCAGTCAATATTGTTTTAGAAAACCAAAAAATCATTCAATTAAATAGTAATATAGATGCATAATGCAGTCAGGTACTGAATATTTGTCAAGAGTTTCTTGAATGAAGTTGTAAATGAATTAGGGATACAAAGTAGACAAACGTACATGGATAAATAAAATAAAATGAACAAATAGCAGATCAATCATGCTACACACACTACTTTCTATGTTGGGATTTTAACTAACAATATTAAAAGACAGTGAAATGAAGATATGCAACATATATAAATAATTACATATGAACACCATTTCAACTGATGAAATACTGTAAGTATTATCAGTTTTATAAAATTTAAGGTATTGTGTTCCCTTAAGTATTTAAAGTTCCTAATCTGATCCCACAGAGAAAACTTTTCCTTTGAGTTTTTTTAAGAGCAGTTCCCAATTCAATGATGTAAATTATTTGTGACCAAGACTTTTAGTATTTTTGTAAACAATAGATGTCATGTTCAAAGAGAATGAGAATTAAAGCAGATTCACCAAATTTGCTAAAGGTTTTCATCTTGCATATTGATTTTATTGTTTACACATCACAATTGTTTGTACATACAAAATCCTATTTCTTTAATTTTTGTCATTCCAGTATTGTCTGAAATCTTAACCAAAGAGCTTCTTGGCTCTGGGTTGGAAAATGGTATTCTTTCTTAGTTTTTATTCCCAATACTGTTCTCAATTCTACTGAAAGACTGAGAACTGTGACTAGAACAATTGTGAACAAAAATCTGTGATTAATATTCAGTATTCATCTCAGATCATTTATAATTTTGATTCTTCTCCAACTCTACATACCTAATGTTGACAGAAAATCTTTATAATCAAATAAAAACACAATTATAGCTACTTTTTAATGTCATGTTTATTTCCTTGTACAGGAAGCACATGTATGTAATTACTGAGAACAGATGATTAAACATCAGGAAACAAACTCTGAAAGAACCTTTGTACACAGATCAGAGCCAGTAGTAGTATAAGAAAATTAACAAACAATGTTCCCAAAAGAAGATTCAAATTGATTTCATAAAAAGAATATGAAAAGAAAAGTTGAGCAAGGCAAATCTGATTTGTCAAGACATGAAAATAAGCTATCTTTCGGAAAAACAAAGTGATGACAGACAAAAACATTTAATGTCTGGCCTCTGTTTCACAAAAAATCTTACGAATAAAACAGATAAGTATACTGAATTGTTCATGACTTACAATCAAAATTTTTTGTGAAACGCAGGCCAGCAATTTTGTTACTCGGGTTATAAATTTCAACTTTAAAACTGAGAAAATTATTTATCCATATCTAAAATACAATATTAGTAACCCTAAAAAATAAATTGTAACTTTCAAGCAAAAAGAAGTCTTAAAATTAGCAAAATGAAGTAATCCAAAATCAGCAAATTGAAGCATTACTTTTATGAAGGTTATAAAACCTGACAAAAAAAGTTACAAATGAATGTCTTTATATTTTATTATCAATAAATAAATACATCTTCCAATGTATTCATGGAATGTGACATTTAAATCATATAATGATTATAGGGGTGTAGGCCAATAATACTACCAATACACTTCTGTTCCATTCAATGAATAAACTGCCTTAATGAGAAAGCTCACATACTCCAATGAATGAAATGGTATAAAGCCTCCCTACTAGGTCAGTACTAGCAGTACTAGGATATGGATTCCATACTACAATCTTTAAAATATTCCAGCTTATTTGAGTGTGAAAACAGTGGATCATCTTTTAAAATTTAGGTACTCAGATAAAAAATGAAAATATTTTTCCTGGAGACACACATAGGTAAGTTATATAAATTTAATCCAACTTGCCCTCCAAAAATGGTTGTCCATTTGATTTTTTTGCTTGGGTTATAAATATGATATTACGACAGACTCACTACAACCCAATATATATCAAGTCTTGTATGACATACTTCTTTTTTCACAACTATTTCTCTATCCTGGAATGATTATCTAAAACTGGAATGATATATATATATATATATTTATATATGTGACATTCTATATGTATGTTTGTCACATTTAAACTATTTTGTATAATATAATGTCATATTATATCACATTACTTTTACTGAGTAATAAAAAAAATAATCATAAAGGGATATGCTGTTTATCATTAAGGACAAGTATTGGGCTTGTCACAATACAGTGTATATGAGCAACAGCTCACTGAAACTACTAGGTCTAACTGTCGGGGGGTGGGAAATTGTATACCACTGTCAAAAATAGTCCTTGAAATGAAAACTAAATATTTAGGCTTTGAACCCATTTGAGCCATTTTATAAATTATGCTTAATATGTGGAAGCAGTTAAGCTGGATTTTGCAATGTTAAAACAAATCCAACTCCTACTTAGATAAAACAAATACTATTGTAATGCCAATCCTTTTTAGCTCCCTTAAATGTCTACTATCTAGGAAACAGCAAGAGTTTTGTCAAATCTGATAGGAAATATTTTATGTTTTGCATTATGGTGCGAGTCATTTAAATCCATTGAACCACTAAACAGAACCAAATCATTAAACAAACACAGAATTTAAGTGAGTGCCATAGAGGTAGACCAAAAAGTGGGGAGGAACTTCTGAAAGTGACAAACACAAAAGAAATTCAATTAAGTCCATTTAATAGTCTAGAAGTTAGTCAGTGTCCTCTTATATTTTCATATATTTTTTTCTTTTCAATATTTTTTTCTTTAATTGGGATTTTCAAAAGTGGTGGGGCTTACTATTTTCATGATTAATGGAGTTTGGAAATTAAGTAAGAACCATTGATCCACCAAAAAAAAACTTATTTACACTTACACCAACTTTTAATATGCTTTATATTTAATTAACCTAACTATGTAATTAAAAAAATTAACAATTCAAGTATCACAATGCAACATTACCAAACATAACAATATATATTTTTACTTATATAAATGATAACTTTTCTGACATACACATATCTGCTGTATAAGACTCTGTTTATAAATTATGCACATGTGCAGTGTTTTCAAAATTAATCATGATCTTTTAGTAAATATAAAAACATTTAAAATGTATCAAGTTTTCTATATTAAATTATAAAAAAAAGCAACATTTACACAACATTATCATAACTGTATTCACCTGCCCTCCTTTTCTCGTGTGAAAATCTTATGTTTTTTTTTAAATTGAGGTAAAATTGCAAATACAAAAGTCTTTGAAAGCTCTTTTTTAACTCATGAATCTATTGATATACAAAGGTTAATATCAGAATATCATAGAAATCTAGTTAAAGAAAATTAAAAGGAGGGCATAAATTTTTAACTTATTAGATGATATAACTTCTACAGGCATTTGTTTCCTAAAATTAATTTTAAAAACAAAAATTCCCTGTAGAAATTTCTTGGAAAAGGCTCATGTATAAATTTCACTTAATGTGCAATATATATTATTTAAAAGGCCTTTCCAAAAAAAAAAATCCATTTAGAAAAGAAATAGTATGTTTCAAATTTCCTTAGTGTTTTTTTTTCTTCTTTATCATTATATCTAACAGATGTTTATTGTTAAAAATCAAAATATTATAAATGATGTCTTGTTTAAAAGAAAATGTACAGTACATGAAAGTTTTTAATAGTAGTTATATTGTATAGGACCATGGGCCTGTTTTTGAGGTACAAGCATTTGAAACTTAAGACTAGAAAAAATGTATCTGCTTTGTTTTAAATCAAATACAAGAGAAAAAAATAACTGTTCAAAAATATAACAAAAATCTAAAATTATTTACTCACAAGGTTCAATAGATTTAATTCTAATATTTTTGAAAATGACTTTCCTTAATGGTACAAAAGTATTAGAAGGAAACCTTATACACAATTAAATATTTATTTGCTCTGCACTGTGGTGTAAACAAAATTTACTCCATAGGCTACACAAACTTGAAAGTTAAAGGTAGAAAGACAAAAGATATAATACCTGCATTGACTTTTTTTTAATCTTTTTACAGCTGTACAGAATTTTACCCTTGTTGTTACCCATGACAGTTTTATTTTTTATATTGCACAGATGAATGGATGTTTAAATTTTAGCTGGCAATCTTCCATCTATATTCAACATGAAAACATATGAATAATATATGTACTGCTTTTTACTAGATCCACAAGATTTTTAAGGTAGCTTGGGGATCTTCTGTCCATCTTGGATTTTAAAATAGCAGAAAACAACCAGTCCAGATCTTTAATTAAATATGCAAATTATGACACAGGGATGCAAGTCATTTGTAAGACTTTTCATCTCAATAAAGAAAATTATGTGTTTGGTCTTATTATTACAACTGTTTTTACAAATAGAAAATATTTTGTTTATACAATTTTCTTCCAACCTACCCATATTAGGAAAAATAACTCTAACACTTCAATTTTATAAAGGAATGTACAGTAAGTTGATATGTTTTGTTTTGCAGCCAGAAAAGAGTGTACCCTTATTTTCTCAAAAAAATCCATGATCCAAACATAATATTAAATTTTTGAAAATTGCATGATAAAAAATTCTATGTTTTATTTCAATTTGAATTCCACTCTATGGGGTTAATAAATTAACAGTCTAGAGAGACTTCTTATATAGTGTGAACAGAACATTCTGAGTCTTAGTCGACCAAAACAGTATATATATTCATGTCTGTGTTACTTCTTCCTGATATGAATATGTATGAAAAAATCAAAAATTCAAAGTCAACTATTTAAACATACTAAGAAATAACCTATACTGCTTATAACTGCAGCACACACACACACACAATAGTACATATCTTTGTATGATATAACATGATTGATAAAATTCATAGAAAATTCAACAACAAAATTAACAAATATATAAACAAAATTAAACCATCAACATGGGCACCATCAGAAAAAAATGAACCAGCATACCACAAAATCAAAAATGTATGCAAAAATGGAATATATCTGTTACTTATAGCATTGTAAGGCAAAGCAAAGCTTTAAACTCTTTTCCTTAACCTCATTAACAGCAAAGAACATTTTCATCAGCATTCCTCGAATTATCAGTATACTGCTTAAACTTAAAACTAATCAATAAACTAACCAATAAAAAAAACACTAAAATTTTATGTTGTAAGTTTCAACAAATACCCTTAAGCCAAAAATTAAAAAATATGTGTGTTTACTGTTACCTGCTGGAGAAAAACTAGGATCATTAGTTCGCAATTTTTTTTTATTATTATTTGATCTGAAACCCCATGAAATAGCCTTATCCTATTCCAGATTTGGATTCAGTTTTCCATTTACCTATATTTTCGATTGGCGGCCATTTGTCAAAGCTGTTTTTGTCGATCAGATATGTTCGACTTGATTTTACACAATACCTGTTGATGATTTCAGAATTAAGGTTAGCGGTTGAACAAGTTGAACATTTGTGTCAAGAATAATACCTGTGAAAACATAATTTTCCCTAATTTTCAGTGAAAAAATGTAGGGTCCACACTCAAAAATCAGGGTTATTCAGGGTACAGTAAACACAATGTATTACTTGTTAGTTGCTATGAACTAGTTATTGTTTCCGAATATTACAAATTAATCCTTAGATCCAAAACTTTAATTTCCATACAAACACATCACTGAAGAATGTACTTTCAACATTAATTTCATAGATGACAACTTGTACTTATCCTGACTGGATTATTCTCTTTTATATGTATCTGTTTCAATAACACCTTAAAGCATTAATAAATTAAAATAAGGCTTCAGTATAAATTTAAAGCAGATAACAAACTTGGGTTCTGCAAATAACATTTCTTCTTCGCCATCATTGAATAATGCTATATAAAGGTCAGATTTCTCTTCCATACACAAATTTACTCTATACTTTGTAGATTGTCCCTGAATATCAATCAAATATAATATATCTCTTAATCTTTCCACTTTCACCTGAAGATAGCCTTACTTTCTAATAAACAATATTCAACAATTTTACTTTGGTAAACCATGTTCGTGGCTATACAGTGATTGTTTTCATGTTGTGGCCAGATCAACGTTGGACCAAATACAATGGCAATATTCTGTACTTCCATCCTATTTTCTTTACTTAATTCTGTCACCCTAAAAATTAAAAAAATAATAATATCAAACATTGAGACAATTTAGAAACATAATTTATTTTTGAATTACTCACAAATATATACTTTTTTTATAGTCAAATGACAAAACAGGCATTTATTATTAAGTAGTCAAGAAGAGTAGTTAAAATAAATCTGTACATATAATGCATTATAGAACACAAAAAAGACTTTCAAATTCTTTCATATCAAAATGTTTGAAAAATAATGTATATCTATCAAAAAAAATAAATAAAGTAAAATAAACAAATTAATTCTACTGCCAACCCATAATAAAATCATTCAATAACATTTTGAACATGAATCAAATATTAAAAAAACATATACAGTACAAATAACAATCACTTGTAAATATTCCGATGGCACACTTCTTTCATGGTCAGTTGGTAAACAATACAGATTTTTGTATGCCATCAATAGGTCAAGTGTTACAAAATCTCAGTTGAAATGTAACAGAATTTCCAAAATTTCTGATCCATGGACAAAAATGAAAATGAGTCCAATTTCATGAAGTGCTGCAAAATCCACAATCATACCCAATTTTTATATGTGTGTTCTAACAATTGCAATACAAGTACTATCAATCATAAAAACATTGCAGAAATTTCTGAATTTTCAGTATTTCATTGTTACTGAAAATGCATACTTACTTTAACAGATGAGCACAAAGGCATTTAAAAGTTTCAAAGTTATATTTAGGTAAATTGTGTATATTATCTCTGAAAATCCTCAGTCGTTCTGCAGTTGATTCTCTTGCTGAAAAATATGAAGAGACAGTTATAGCAGTTATGTATTCGTTTTTTTACACAACTTTTTGCATAAAGATGAATATGAGCGCAGCCTGATACCACTGCAGAGGTTGATCTCTGAACAGTTGGGGCAAGTTTGGACACAATATTCAAGCTTGATACTGTCTGAGTTTAGATTGTGATCAAATTTTTGACATAATGTAGGTTTCTGACACAAAATAAATGTGGAAAAGATCTCAATAAAATGCTCCGCTGGGCGCAGCTTGATACGACCGCAGAGGTCGAACCCTGAACAGCTGGGGCAAGTATGGACACAACATTCAAGCTTGATACAGCACTTAATTTGGATTGTGATTTAATATTTGACACAGCATAGGTTTCTGACACAGAATGAATGTGGATTAGAACTTAAAAATTTTAATTTACCTATTCAAACCATATCATTATTCTTTGCTTTTATATATAAATCAGAAATAACCAATTTAAAATGGAAAATTTGAAAGAAAAAAAAAGGAAAAAAATGAAAAAAAAAATCCCTCCCCCAAATTTTTTGAACCCCCTAATGATTCGTCACCCCCAAACTCAATCTCAGCCTTCCCTTTGTGGTATGGTACCTTGCAGTACAATTTCATAGAGATCCATACACTTGAACACAAGTTATTGTCTGGAAACTAGAAAAATGCTTGTTTTTAGGCCCCTTTTTGGCCCCAAATTCCTAAAATTTTTAGGCAATTACCCCCAAACTCAAACCCAGCTTTCCCTTTGTGATATGAAACCTTGTAGTACAATTTCATAAAGACCCATACACTTACACACAAGTAATTGTCCTGAAACTAGAAAAATGCTTGTTTTTTGCCCCTTTTTTGCCCCTAATTCCTAAAATTTTTAGGCAATTACCCCCAAAACCAATCCCAGCCTTCCCTTTGTGGTATGGTACCTTGCAGTACAATTTTAGAGAGATCCATACACTTGAACACAAGAAATGATCTGGAAACTAGAAAAATGCTTGTTTTTAGGCCCCTTTTTGGCCCCAAATTCCTAAACCTTTAGGGCAGTTACCCCCAAACTCAAACCCAGCTTTCCCTTTGTGATATTGAACCTTGTAGTACAATTTCATAAAGATCCATACACTTACACACAAGTTATTGCCCTGAAACTAGAAAAATGCTTGTTTTTTGCCCCTTTTTTGCCCCTAATTTCTAAAATTTTGAGGCAATTACCCCCAAAACTAATCCCAGCCTTCCCTTTGTGGTATGGTACCTTGCAGTACAATTTCAAAGAGATCCATACACTTGAACACAAGTAATTGTCTGGAAACTAGAAAAATGCTTATTTTTGGCCCCTTTTTGCTAAACAATTTGGGCAATTACCCCCAAACTCAATTCCAGCTTTCCCTTTGTGATATGGAATCTTGTAGTACAATTTCAGAAAGATCCATACACTTACACACAAGTTATTATCATGAAACTAGAAAAATGCTTGTTTTTTGCCCCCTAATTCCTAAAATTTTGAGGCAGTTACCCCCAAAATCAATCCCAGCATTTCCTTTGTGATATGGAACCTTGTGGTACAATGTCAGAGAGATCCATACACTAACACACAAGTTATGTCTGGAAGTTACAAAAATGCTTATTTTTGGCCATTTTTTGGCCCCTTATTCCTTAACTATTGGTACCATAACCCCCAAAATTAATCCCAACCTTCCTTTTGTGGTATTGAACCTTATGGTAAAATTTCATAGAGATCCATTCACTTAAACTAAAGTAAGAGTGCGAAAACCAATATGTCTTCAGAGGACGACGACAACGATGACGCCAACTTCATACCAATATAAGACTGCAAAATTTTTTTGCGGTCCACTGAAATAATCTATTGAGCAATACTTTCAATCGAAGATTTCTTCTTGAAACTTTTTAAAAAAATTTGAAATTTCAAAAATTTTGAAGAAAAAAAATTGGGAAAAAAAATCCCCCCCTAATCTTTTTGACCCCCCTTTGGAGTAATTACCCCCAAACTCAATCCCAGCCTTTCCTTTGAGGTATGGAACCTTGTAGTACAATTTTAACGACATCCATACACTTATACTCAAGTTATTGTCTGGAAACTAGAATAAAATGCTCCGCTGGGGCGCAGCTTGATACGACCGCAGAGGTCGAACCCTGAACAGTTGGGGCAAGTATGGACACAACATTCAAGCTTGATACAGCACTGAATTTGGATTGTAATTAAATATTTGACACAGCATAGGTTTCTGACACAGAATGAAAGTGGTCTAAGAACTTAAAAATTTTCAATTTACCTATTCATACATGTGATGGACTGTGAAACTCAGATCAGGAGATTGGGAAATTTTGGTCAGGAGATTAGGACTCAGATCAGGAGGTTTTTAATCGACATTAATTTTGTTGTAAATGTAACCGTGTGCTGTAAAAATGGTCTTTTAAAGTGTGTTTTCTTCAACTTTCCATCCAATTTATTATGTTTATAGTACCCTTGTACTTATAAAGTTTCTCCATCTTTATATTCTACATGTTCAATCTAACATTGTATTTTTCCAGTATGTTCTTTAAATTTTTTACTTCATATTCTATAAAACAATCATTGCAACCAGAACATTTGTTTAGCTATTTGCAAATAGTTTTTATTTTTTTTTTTCTCTTGCATATAGTTTTTATTTGCAAATTCAGAAAATCATTTTATCTGTAAATTTAGGGTCATAGTTATTATATAAATTTCAATTTAAGCCTTGAAAGGAAGTCTAGAGTCCTCAAATAATTTTCAAATTATTATTTTTTTATTTGTCCTAAAACATTTAAAATCATTTAATAACCATCCTTTTATGATTATTTGTTCAATTTATATTTTATTTATATTCTTTTAAAAATTTTCATTATTAAAAGGAAAGTAACTTAAAACAGGATAAATCAAGGGAAGTAACCCAATAAATACACAGTTTTTGTTACACAACGGCAGTTAGCCTGAGGTAAAAATCGTTGATTACCTGTATGTTTGACACCCAAGCTGACAAGTGAAGCCATATAATTATGCATGTTAATTGATTTACAGGTAAAATATAACTTCAGGTAATGTCAGTTACACCAGATGCCTGAGATGATATGTTGGGCAGAAATTTTTCATTCATGAAAAATTTCATACACGGGATTTTTTCCTCTTCAACGGGAGGTCGGGAGGAGACCCCTGAAAACGGGATTATTGTACTCCCGTCGGGAGGTTCACATGTATGCCTATTCAAACCATATCATTATTATTTGCTTTTATATATAAATCAGAAATAACCAATTTAAAATGGAAAATGTTAAAGAAAAAAAAGGAAAAAAAAATCCCCCCCCAATTTTTTGAACCCCCTTATGATTCATCACCCCCAAACTCAATCCCAGCTTTCCCTTTGTGGTATGGTACCTTGCAGTACAATTTCAGAGAGATCCATACACTTGAACACAAGTTATTGTCTGGAAACTAGAAAAATGCTTGTTTTTTGGCCCCTTTTTGGCCCCAAATTCCTAAACGTTTAGGGCAATTACCCCCAAACTCAATTCCAGCTTTCCCTTTGTGATATGGAACCTTGCAGTACAATTTCATAAAGATCCATACACTTACACACAAGTTATTGTCCTGAAACTAGAAAAATGCATGTTTTTTTTGCCCTTTTATGGCCCCTAATTACTAAAATTTTGAGGGAAAACCCCCAAAATCAATCCCAGCCTTCCCTTTGTGATATGGAACCTTGTAGTACAATTTCAAAAGATCCATACACTTACAAACAAGTTATTGTCATGAAACTAGAAAAATGCTTGTTTTTTGCCCCTTTTTGGCCCCTAATTCCTAAAATTTGGAGGAAATTACCCCAAAAATCAATCCCAGTATTCCCTTTGTGATATGGAACCTTGTAGTACAATTTCATAAAGATCCATACACTTACAAACAAGATATTGTCATGAAACTAGAAAAATGTTTGTTTTTTGCCCCTTTTTGGCCCCCAATTCCTAAAATTTGGAGGCAATTACCCCCAAAATCAATCCCAGCATTCCCTTTGTGATATGGAACCTTGTGGTACAATGTCAGAGAGATCCATACACTTACACACAAGTTATGTCTGGAAGTTACAAAAATGCTTATTTTTGGCCCCTTTTGGCCCCTAATTCCTTAACTGTTAGTACCATAACCCCCAAAATCAATCCCCACCTTCCTTTTGTGGTATTGAACCTTATGGTAAAATTTCATTGAGATCCATTCACTTAAACTAAAGTTAGAGTGCGAAAACTAATAGGTATTCGGACGACGACGCCGGACGACGACGACGACGACGCCAACGTCATACCAATATACGACCACAAAAATTTTTTTGCGGTTGTATAAAAATGCTTATTTTTGGCCCCTTTTTTGCCCTTAATTCCTGCATGTTTAGGGCAATTACCCCAAAACTCAATCCCAGCCTTCCCTTTGTGATATGGAACCTTTTGGTGCAATTTCAGTGAGATCCATACACTAACACACAAGTTATTGTCCCAAACTAGAATAAAATGCTCCGCTGGGGCGCAGCTTGATACGACCGCAGAGGTCAAACCCTGAACAGTTGGGGCAAGTATGGACACAACATTCAAGCTTGATACAGCACTGAATTTGGATTGTAATTAAATATTTGACACAGCATAGGTTTCTGACACAGAATGAAAGTGGTCTAAGAACTTAAAATTTTTTAATTTACCTATTCAAACCATATCATTATTATTTGCTTTATATATAAATCAGAAATAACCAATTTAAAATGGAAAATTTTAAAGAAAAAAAATGAAAAAAAAATCCCCCCCAAATTTTTTGAACCCCCTTATGATTCATCACCCCAAACTCAATCCCAGCCTTCCCTTGGTGGTATGGTACCTTGCAGTACAATTTCAGAGAGATCCATACACTTGAACACAAGTTATTGTCTGAAAACTAGAAAAATGCTTGTTTTTTGGCCCCTTTTTAGCCCCAAATTCCAAAACGTTTAGGGCAATTACCCCCAAACTCAAACCCAGCTTTCCCTTTGTGATATGGAACCTGAAACTAGAAAAATGCTTGTTTTTTGCCCTTTTATGGCCCCTTATTACTAAAATTTTTAGGGAATTACCCCCAAAATCAATACCAGCCTTCCCTTTGTGGTATGGTACCTTGCAGTACAATTTCAGAGAGATCCATACACTTGAACACAAGTTATTGTCTGGAAACTAGAAAAATGCTTATTTTTGGCCCCTTTTTGGCCCCTTTTTCCTAAACTTTTTGGGCAATTACCCCGAAACTCAATTCCAGCTTTTCCTTTGTGATATGGAACCTTGTAGTACAATTTCATAAAGATCCATACACTTACACACAAGTTATTGTCATGAAACTAGAAAAATGCTTGTTTTTTGCCCCTTTTTTGCCCTTAATTCCTAAAATTTGGAGGCAATTACCCCCAAAATCAATCCCAGCATTCCCTTTGTGATATGGAACCTTGTGATACAATTTCAGAGAGATCCATAGACTTACACACAAGTTATTGTCATGAAACTAGAAAAATGCTTGTTTTTTTCCCCTTTTTGGCCCCTAATTCCTAAAATTTGGAGGCAATTACCCCCAAAATCAATCCCAGCATTCCCTTTGTGATATGGAACCTTGTGGTACAATGTCAGAGAGATCCATACACTTACACACAAGTTATGTCTGGAAGTTACAAAAATGCTTATTTTTGGCCCCTTTTTGGCCCCTAATTCCTTAACTGTTGGTACCATAACCCCCAAAATCAATCCCCACCTTCCTTTTGTGGTATTGAACCTTATGGTAAAATTTCATTGAGATCCATTCACTTAAACTAAAGTTAGAGTGCGAAAAACTAATGTGTCTTCGGACGACGACAATGACAACGACGACGACGCCAACGTCATACCAATATACGACCACAAAAATTTTTTTGCGGTCGTATAAAAATGCTTGTTTTTGGCCCCTAATTCCTAAACTGTTGGTTCCATAACCCCCAAAATTAATCCCAACCTTCCTTTTGTGGTATTGAACCTTCTTGTAAAATTTCATAGAGATCCATACACTTAAACTAAAATTATTGTCCAGAAACCAAATGTGTCTTCGGACAACGATGATGACGATGACACCAACGACAACATCATAGCATTATACGAACCCAAATATTTTTTTGTGGTCGTATAAAAAACAAGAAATGTATTTAACTATAAAGTATAAAGCAATAAATTGCTTCGCCGAGCGCAGCTGGATACGACCGCAGAGGTCCAACCCTGAACAGTTGGGGCAAAAATGGACACAATAGTCGCGCTTGATACAGGTCTGAATTTGGATTGTAATTAAATATTTGACACATAATAGGTTTCTGACACAGAATAACTGTAGTCAAAGAACTTAGAATTGGTCATATGATTTGAATTTATATTCAATTTTTTGCTTTTGTGCAATTTACATTGCTGTTGCGAATTGACCCCCCCCCCTCCCCCACCCCCCCCCCCCCAAAAAAAAAATATATTTTTACCCCCCTTTAAAATAAAAAAATATTTGAATAAATTTTCTTTTTAACTTCTGAAATCTGAAATGAGAAAAAATTGTCCCCCTCACAATTTCTTTTTTACCCCTCCCCCCCCCCCCCAATTTTTTTTTCACCTCCCCTCCCTTTATCAAAAAAAACCAATTCTTTCCCTCAAGATATGGTCATAATCTCAATTCAAATTTCCAATGGAGTTTGCAACCATAATTACCCATTTAAATACATCATAAAAGTCTTATAATAGAAAATGACATACATAATCATGGCTAAAATTAATATTTCTTAATCAGCATTTTTAAATAGTAACTTCTAAAAATAAATTGACATTTAATCACCTCAAGACAATACAACATTTCTTTATACATAATTTAAAAGCAGTGTAAGGGAGGTAATCCAAACATAACATTGTACTTTTTTTAATTGTCCATTAACCAGGAAACCCTGGTTTTTCCCCCTTTTTTGCCCCTAATTCCTAAATGGTTTGAGCCATAACCCCCCAAAGCCAATCCTAACCATCCCTTTGTGGTATGGAAACTTGTGGTATAATTTCAGAGAGATCCATACACCATTCCACAAGTTATTGTCTGGAAACTAGAAAAATGCTTATTTGGGTCCCTTTTAGGCCCCTAACTCCTAAACTGTTAGGACTATAACCCCCAAAATCAATCCCAACCTTCCTTTTGTGGTTATAAACCTTGTGTTTAAAATTTCATAGATTTCTATTTACATTTACTAAAGTTATTGTCCGAAACCAAATGTCTTCAGATGACGCTGACAAAGACGACGTGATACCAATATACGACCGCAAAAAATTTTGCGGTCGTATAAAAAGCTGAAGGCTTAAATAGGATACAAACAATAAACCAATGGGACAAATGAGAAGTGACTTGGTACTACCACTTTCTACACAAAATATCAACCCAGTTTTACAGAACAAGAACTACTACTTGCATGAGGGTTCATTTGAAACTTCAAAAGTAATACAAAACAGAACACATACCAAAGGCATCATGTGACAAGGAATAAAAGTAATAAACTGCTTCGCTGAGCGCAGCTGGATACTCCCGCAGAGATCCAACCCTGAACAGTTGGGGCAAAAATGGACACAATATTCAAGCTTGATACAGGTCTGAATTTGGATTGTAATTAAATATTTGACATATTATAGGTTTCTGAATAAATGTAGTCAAAGAACTTGAAATTAGTTATATGAATTGAATTTATATTCAATTAAAGATTTCTTGCTGTTGTGCAATACACTATGCTGTTGTGCAATACTTAGTAAATCTGTTGTTAGACTATAAACAAATAAAGTTCAATTTCTTCTCAATGTCATATTTGAAATTTATGAAAATCAATAGGGAGATTACATCAATAACTATAAATAATTCACCAAAGTTTCATGAGAATTGCTGAAAGCATTTTTGAGTTATTGTCTGAAAACTGGAAAATCCCCCTTTTTTAATGAATAAAACCCCATAACTTGGAAATGTAAAATCTAAAATTCATAAAATTCTAAAGGGAGCTTACATCAATAGATATCAACAATTCATCAAAGTTTCATGAGAACTGCTGAAAGCATTTTTGAGTTATTATCCGAAAAATGGAAAATCCCCCTTTTTTTTATGAATAAAACCCCGTAACTTGGAAACGTAAAATCTAAAATTTATAAAAAATCAAAAGGGAGCTCATGTCAATAGATATAAACAATTAACCAAAATTTCTTGCAAATTGGTGAAAGCATTCTTGAGTTATTGTCCGAAAACTGGAAAACCCCCCTTTTTTTAATGAATAAAACCACATAACTTGGAAACATAAAATCTAAAATTTATAAAAAACGAAAGGGAGCTCACGTCAATAGATATAAACAATTCACCAAAATTTTATGCAAATTGGTTAAAGCGTTTTGGAGTTAATGTCCGACATGTTGACGACGGACGGACGGACGGACGGACGGACGGACGGACGGACGGACGGACGGACGGACGGAGACAGACAGACAGACAGACAGACAGACAGACAGACAGACAGACAGACAGACAGACAGACAGACAGACAATGATATACCATAATACGTCCCGTAAACGGGCGTATAAAAACTTGAACTCCATACAATCAATAATTAAGGTCAGAATATTCTGCATCTAGTAAATAGAATGTAAGTAGCAGAAATATTCTGTAAAAGGAAATTGAACACAGAATGTGATCACATGATAAAAATAAAATGCTTTGCTGGGGCGCAGCTTGATACGACCGCAAAGGTCGAACCCTGAACAGTTGGGGCAAGTATGGACACAACATTCAAGCTTGATACAGCTCTGAATTTGGATTGTTATTAAATATTTGACACAGCATAGGTTTCTGACACAGAAAGAATGTGGTCTAAGAACTTGAATTTTTTTAATTTACCTATTATGGTCCAATGTCCAAAATCAAAATACATGGTTAGATTCAGCATATCAAAGAACTTCATATATTCAATTTTTGTTAAAATCAAACAAAGTTTAATTTTGGACCCCAGCTTGGACAAACTTGAAAACTGGGCCCATAATTAAAAATCTAAACACATGTTTAGATTCAGCATATCAAATAACCCCAAGAATTCAATTTTTGCTAAAATCAAACTAGGTTTAATTTTGGACCCTTTGGACCTTAATGTAGACCAATTTAAAAAACGGGACTTAAAATTAAAAATCTAAATACACGGATAGATTTGGAATATCAAAGAAGCCCAAGAATTCAATTTTTGATGAAATCAAACAAAGTTTAATTTTGGACCCTTTTGACCTCAATATGAACCAATTTGATAGCGGGGCCCACAAATAAAAAATCTAAATTCATGGTTAGATTCAGCATATCAAAGAACCCCATATATTCAATTTTTGTTGAAATCAAAAAAAGTTTAATTTTCGACCCCAACTTGGACCAACTTGAAAACTGGGCCCATAATCAAAAATCTAAACACATGTTTAGATTCAGCATATCAAAGAACCCCAAGAATTCAATTTTTGTTAAAATCAAACTAAGTTTAATTTTGGACCCTTTGGACCTCAATGAAGACCAATTTAAAAAACGGGACCCAAATTAAAAATCTAAAAACACGGTTAGATTTGGCATATCAAAGAACCCCAATAATTCAATTTTTGATGAAATCAAACAAAGTTTAATTTTGGACCCTTTTGACCTCAATATGAACCAATTTGATAGCGGGGCCTACAAATAAAAAATCTAAATACATGGTTAGATTCAGCATATCAAAGAACCTCATATATTCAATTTTTTTTGAAATCAAACAAAGTTTAATTTTGGACCCCAATTTGGACCAACTTGAAAACTGGGCCCATAATCAAAAATCTACATACATGTTTAGATTCAGCATATCAAAGAAACCCATATATTCAATTTTTGTTGAAATCAAACAAATTTTAAATACTGGACCCTATCTTGGACCAACTTGAAAACTGGGCCCATAATCAAAAATCTAAACACATGTTTAGATTCAGCATATCAAAGAACCCCAAGAATTCAATTTTTGTTAAAATCAAACTAAGTTTAATTTTGGACCCTTTGGACCTTAATGTAGACCAATTTAAAAAACGGGACTTAAAATTAAAAATCGAAATACACGGATAGATTTGGAATATCAAAGAAGCCCAAGAATTCAATTTTTGATGAAATCAAACAAAGTTTAATTTTGGACCCTTTTGACCTCAATATGAACCAATTTGAAAGCGGGGCCCACAAATAAAAAATCTAAATTCATGGTTAGATTCAGCATATCAAAGAACCCCATATATTCAATTTTTGTTGAAATCAAAAAAAGTTTAATTTTGGACCCCAACTTGGACCAACTTGAAAACTGGGCCCATAATCAAAAATCTAAACACATGTTTAGATTCAGCATATCAAAGAACCCCAAGAATTCAATTTTTGTTAAAATCAAACTAAGTTTAATTTTGGACCCTTTGGACCTCAATGAAGACCAATTTAAAAAACGGGACCCAAATTAAAAATCTAAAAACACGGTTAGATTTGGCATATCAAAGAACCCCAATAATTCAATTTTTGATGAAATCAAACAAAGTTTAATTTTGGACCCTTTTGACCTCAATATGAACCAATTTGATAGCGGGGCCTACAAATAAAAAATCTAAATACATGTTTAGATTCATCATATCAAAGAACCTCATATATTCAATTTTTTTTGAAATCAAACAAAGTTTAATTTTGGACCCCAATTTGGACCAACTTGAAAACTGGGCCCATAATCAAAAATCTACATACATGTTTAGATTCAGCATATCAAAGAAACCCATATATTCAATTTTTGTTGAAATCAAACAAATTTTAAATACTGGACCCTATCTTGGACCAACTTGAAAACTGGGCCCATAATCAAAAATCTAAACACATGTTTAGATTCAGCATATCAAAGAACCCCAAGAATTCAATTTTTGTTAAAATCAAACTAAGTTTAATTTTGGACCCTTTGGACCTTAATGTAGACCAATTTAATAAACAGGACCCAAAATTAAAAATCGAAATACACGGTTAGATTTGGAATATCAAAGAACCCCAATAATTCAATTTTAGATGAAATCAAACAAAGTTTAATTTTGGACCCCAATTTGGACCAACTTGAAAACTAGGCCAAAAATCAAAAATCTAAATACATGTTTAGATTCAGCATATCAAAGAACCTCATATATTCAATTTTTGCTAAAATCAAACAAAGTTTAATTTTGGACCCGTTGGACCTTAATGTAGACCAATTTGAAAACTGGACCCAAAATTAAAAATCTAAATACACTGTTGGATTCGGCATAACAAATAAAATCAAAGATTTTACAAATCTAATGCGCCATACTGTGCAATTAAAGATTTCTTCTTGAAATTTTTCAATATTTGAAATTTGAAAAAAAAATAATATTTGAAGAATAATTTTTTTAATTTCTGAAATCTGAAATGAGAAAAAATTGACCCCCCACAATTTCTTTTTATCCCCCCCCCCCCCCCCTTTTTCCCCAAAAAAATTCTTTCCCTCAAGATATGGTCATAATCTCAATTCAAATTTCCAATGGAGTTGGCAACCATAATTACCCATTTAAATTTACCATAGTGCTAACTTAATCTATTTTATAATAGAATTAAAAATATAGTGTCTAATCTTTCATATGGATTTTTTTGTAAAAAAAAAGATACAACATTTGCAGATATTTTTACTGGTCTTCCTTTATAAATATGCATTTCTTTAAACATAATTTAAAAGCATTATAAGGGAAGTAACCAAAACGTTGTATTTGGATTACCTCCCTTACACTGTTTTAAATTATCTTTATTGTTCATTAACCATTACTTTATACATAATTTAAAAGCAGTGTAAGGGAGATAATTTCAATGATGTATTTGATTTATCTCCCTTACACTGCTTTAAATTATGTTTTGTACTAAAGTATTTGTCCATTAACCAGGACAACCTTGTTTTTCCCCCTTTTTTGCCCCTAATTCCTAAACGGTTTGAGCCATAACCCCCCAAAGCAAATCCTAACCATCCCTTTGTGGTATGGAAACTTGTAGTATAATTTCAGAGAGATCCATACACCGTTCCACAGTTATTGTCTGGAAACTAGAAAATGCTTATTTTTGGCCCCTTTTTGGCCCCTAATTCCTAAAATTTGGAGGCAATTACCCCCAAAATCAATCCCAGCATTCCCTTTGTGATATGGAACCTTGTGGTACAATGTCAGAGAGATCCATACACTTACACACAAGTTATGTCTGGAAGTTACAAAAATGCTTATTTTTGGCCCCTTTTTGGCCCCTAATTCCTTAACTGTTGGTACCATAACCCCCAAAATCAATCCCCACCTTCCTTTTGTGGTATTTAACCTTATGGTCAAATTTCAAAAAGATCCATTTACTTAAACTAAAGTTAGAGTGCGAAAACCAATGTGTCTTCGGACGACGACGCCGGACGACGACTACGCCAGACGACGACGACGCCAACGTCATACCAATATACGACCACAAAATTTTTTTGCGGTCGTATAACAAGCATTCTGTGAGTATTGCCTGGCAATACATAGTCCCCTACCAGTTAAAAATTTATTGTACTGGAAAAAAATTCTAACTTGATCTATAACTGGCCATGGTGTAAACTATAGAACAATATCAAGTCAATAACTTCAAGCATGACAAAAAAAAATGTGGAAAATTGATTTAGTAAATTTTCTAAGTCAAAGAACCATAACTCTGCACAAAATCATTAGACCGGAACAAAATTCGAACTTAACCTGTAACTTGTCATGATAAAACTATATACCAACCATCAAATCAATATCTTCAAGCACAAAGAAAAAAGTGTGGAAAACTGATTTGCTGGACTGATGGATGGACAGATAGACAGACGGACAGAGTGCAAACCCAAAGTCCCCTTCGACTTCGTCGGTAGGGGACTCATAAATATTGCCTTCCTTTAGACAATGATTAAAATGGTTTTTATCAATTCTATTGCATATTTTTGATACAACTACTTAGCAGTTACTGGTACAAGAAATGATGTTGCTGAAAAATTTAAGGTGGAAAATTTCTCTTTAGAACATTACTCTCTGTTGGAAAGCCTTAAACTCACAAACTTTTTTCTTGCCAAATCAGTAACAGTAGAAAGATACACTTACTTAATGCTGGAACAGCTTTATCAAATAAGTTGAAGGTTAGTAACGGTTCTTTCAATTCTCTAAAGAATAGTTTGAGAGCACCGGTTAATGTAAAAACATCCCATTCTTTAGAATCCAGGTCATATTTATCTACAATACAAAAATTTTTATCAAGTCAAAAATATTCAATATGAATTTTAATCAACAAAAACACGTTTTGGGTAAAATGTAACTCCTGTCTGCAACCACTACCAGCTTATGTGTTTTTATGTTAGTTGTTTTTGTGCTTTGTACTGATCTTTTGAGTTAAGCCAATTGGAACTGATTTTTACAGTTTGTTCTTATGTTGTGCTGTTACACCACTGTCCCAGGTTAGGGGAGGGTGAGCGCTGACAAACATGTTTAACCCCTCTACATGAGCCTGTCCCAAGTCGGAAGCCTGTAGTTCAGTGGTTGTTCTTGGTTCATGTCTGTCATATTATTTCTCTTAAATTGTTTTGTCATAAATTAGGCTGTTAGTTATCTCATTTGAATTGTTTCACGTTTTTCATGTCAGGTCATATGGTGACCTCTAATTGCTTATTTCCACTTCATATGAACTCTGGTGGATAATTGTCTCATTGGCACTCATACCACATCTCCTTATTTTTTTATGTATACTTTATAAAAATTTACTATCTGCTACAAATATGAAACTGACAATTTGTCAGAGACCAAAAGTTGCATACAATTTTTATCAAAAATTTTCATAATTTTTTTGAAACCTTAATTTTTCTGATAATTTTATTTCTTATTTTTCCTATTATGAGAATGTTTAATTTCAATGAAATCATTTTAATTTGAATCAGGCTTACTTACAGAAACAATAATAACTTTTCATCTCTTTTCAAGAAGAAGTCCAACAGAATATTATATAAAGTATACTCCACTCTTTATAATGGAAAAAATATTCCATGGTCACATAATCAAAATTCATATGAATTTCAAACATTGATTGATTGCTCAGCAAATCTTAAAATTGCTTAAATGGTTCAACACATCATACCAAAGTTACAGCCAAAATATTAAATCATTCCTTAATACAGTAGCTGAATATATGTAACAAAAGGTATAGACAGACAAATGAACACATGGACAGTCAGACAGAGGTCAGACAAGGTGATTGCAGTACACAAACAAATCTGTGAGCAGAGATATAATAAATAAATTATTTTCTTTGTTTCTGTTTTAAACAATATATCATGGTGTTTTTATCAATATATTATTGCTTTTATTTTCAAAATTGTACACACAAAATAAAATAAAGAGCTTTTTCAACTTTTAAAGTTCCTAAAAACCGTCAATGTCATATCAGAAGTTTATAAAGGGAGCTTATTTTAATAGATATAAACCAGTCACCAAAGTTCCACAAAAACTGCTCAAAGTATTTTTGAGTTATTGTCCGAAAAACTGGAAAATCCCCCCTTTTTTATGAATAAAATCCCATAATCGGAAACGTAAAATCTAAAATTTATCAAAATCGAAAGGGAGCTTACATCAATATATAAACGATTCACTAAAGTTTCATGAAAATGGATAACATGTTTTTGATTTATTGTCTAACATGTTGACGATGGACAGACGGACAAACAGACGGACAGATGGATGGACAACAGTATACCATAATACGTCTCGTAAAAGGGCATATCAAAATAAGTAAGCTTGTTTTTGGTGGACAGGAATTCAAAATCAGCTTTGTTAGAGTAGTAGTCCTTGTCATAAGTAGCCAATCAAATAAAAGAATGGAAAATAAAGATGATCTGTTAAAGTAATTTGACCAGTTGGTTTATATACAACACTCAACAGCTAAAACAGAATTAACAGTTCACAAAAAGATCAGCAAACCCTTACCCTAACCCAAACCAACTTATAATTTGTGTACTAACTCTAGAATATAATAATTAAACTGTAATATCTGAATACAAATCACAATTTTTTTTAAAACAATATCCCCCCCCCCTTGCCTCATTTTGGTTCTGGAAGAGGTATTTGTTTCAATATGTATTTTGCAATTTTCAGGTCTGACTTATTAAATATAAATCATTCAAGTTTTATTAAAATGCAAAGAAAGAAGTAGTGAATAGTTTTAGAAACATCCCTGTTTAAAATATTCAAACCAATTATCTAATCAACTTCATGCCAATAATAGCAGAGACAAATTTCAAAACTTTTTAATGCATCTGTAGTAACTAGAAAGTCATCAATATTCTTTATTTCACAAAAAAATAAAATGCTTCGCTGGGGCGCAGCTTGATACGACCGCAGAGGTCGAACCCTGAACAGTTGGGGCAAGTATGGACACAAAATTCAAGCTTGATACAGCTATGACTTTGGATTGTCATTAAATATTTGACACAGCATAGGTTTCTGACACAGAATGAATGTGGTGTAAGAACTGGAAAAAATTTAATTTACCTATTATGGTGGAATATCCATAAACTAAATTGTTTGTTAATTTCAATATATCAAAGAATATGTAGAATTCAATGTTTGATGTAATGTAATAAAGTTGAAATTTGGACCGTTTTTGTTCAATGTGGACCAATTTGGTAACATGTATAAATAATCAAAAATCTACTAAATACATGGGAGCCCATTTAAATACATCATAAAGGTATTAAAATAGAAAGTGACATCATAGTCATGGCTAAAAATAAACAAAAATCCTTAATCAGCAACATTTAACAGTAATATCTAAAAATGGAAATTACATCATAAAGGTATTAAAATAGAAAATGACATCATAGTCATGGCTAAAAATAAACAAAATCCTTAATCAGCATCAGCAACATTTTATAGTAATATCTAAAAATAAAATTCCTTTGTAACCATAAAAGCCCATTTAAATACATCATAACAGATATTAAAATAGAAAATGACATCATAGTCATGGCTAAACATAGCAAAAACCTTAATCAGCATCATTTAACAGTAATATCTAAAAATAAAAATTTCTTTGCAACCATAAAAGTAAAATAGAAAATGACATCATAATCATAGCTAAAAATAAACAAAAATTTTTTTTATTGGCAAATTTTAAATGGAGTTTATTATACTAAAACAATAAATTTGCAACCATAAACATGATAAAACCCCATTTAAACACATCATAAAAGTATTAAATAATTCAACTACATCATAAGGCTATAAAAATAGAAAATGACTTCATAGTCAAGGCTAAAGGTAAACAAAAAACCTTCATCAGCAAAATTTTATATTGGCAAATTTCCAATGAAGTTTATTACACTAAAATTGTTGGCAAATTTCCAATGCATTTATTAACAATAAAGTTATTGGCAAATTTCCAATTTACATAATTTAAAAGCAGTGTAGATGAGATATTTAAATGAGTTTGAATTACCAACCTTACACTGCTTTTAAATAATGTTCTTTACTCAATTATTTGTCTATTAAAATGGAAACCCTTGTTTTTTAACCTTTTTTCCCCTTATTCCTTAAACATTAGAGCCATAACCACCCCCCCCCCCCCCCCCCCCCAGAGCCAATTATTACTTTCCAATGTAACCTAAATTTCCAATATACATAATTTTAAATTTCAATTCCTCATGATATATAACCGTATCATTATTATTTTCTTTCATATATAAATCTGAAACAACCATCTTTAAATGGAAAATTTTAAAGAAAAAAAAAGGAAAAAAAAAAATCCTACCTCCCACACATTTTTTCAACCCCCTTTTGATTCATCATCCCCCACCTCAATCACATCCTTCAATTTGTGGTATGGTACATTGCAATACAATTTCACAGAGATCCATACACTTGAACACAAGTTTTTGTTGCAAACTAAAAAAATCCTTATTTTTGACCAATATTTGGCCCCTTATTCATAAATGTTTGAGCAATTAACCCCAAAACTCAATTCCTACTTTCTCTTCGTGATAAAAAATAACTAACTTAAAATGTAAATTTTAAACAAAAAAAAAAGGAAAAAAAAAAATTACCCCTTTTTTGACCCCCGCCCCCCTTATGATTCATCACCCCCATCCCCCTTTCCCCCAAAATCAAGCTCAATAACAGCCTTGCCTTTGTGGTATGGTACCTTGTAATACAATTTTAGAGAGATCCATACACTTGAACACAAGTTATTGTCTAGAAACTAAAAAATGCTTATTTTAAACCCCTTTTTAGGCCCCTTATTACTAAACGTTTTGGGCAATTACCACAACACTCAATTCCAGCTTTCCCTTTGTGAAATGGAACCTTGTAGTAAAATTTCAGAAAGATCCATACGCTTACACACAAGTTATTGTCATGAAACTAGAAAAATGCTTGTTTTTTGCCCCCTTTTGGCCCCTTATTCCTAAAATTTTGAGGCAATTAACCCCAAAATCAATCCCAGCATTGACCCTTTGTGATATGGAATCTTGTGGTACAATGTCAAAGAGATCCATATGCTAACACACAAGTTATGTCTGGAAGTTACAAAAATGCTTATTTTTGGCCCCTTTTTGGCCCCTTTTTGGCCCCTAATTCCTTAACTGTTGGTACCATAACCCCCAAAATCAATCCCCACCTTCCTATTGTGGTATTGAACCTTATGGTAAAATTTCATAGAGATCCATTCACTTAAACTAAAGTTAGAGTGCGAAAACCATTGTGTATTCGGACGACGACGACGCCAACGTCATACCAATATACGACCTCAAAATTTTTTTGCGGTCGTATAATAACATGATTTCAAAATATTTCATTTAACTTTACCATTACAAGGGTACAATTCAATAGAATTCAGGGCTGAAATTTCTGGGGTAACATTGTAGGTTCTCTACTGTATCTCTGAGGACACGAATGCCCCCCTTCAACAATACCAAAATCAGGAGACTTAACTAATTGTAACAACTGGAGAGGAATCACCTTACTATCCATTTCAAGTAAGATCTTCTGCATAATTTTAATATTAAGAATCATAGACGCTGTGGATAAGAACAAGCTGGTTTCAGAAAAGGTAGAGGTTGCACAGATGACATATTTGTCCTACAAAACATCTTAGAACAGTGCCATGAGTGGCAGAGAAAACTACTTGTAAATTTTGTGGACTTCGAAAAAGCCTTTGACAGCTTACACCGGGAAAGTCTTTGGGAAATTTTGAAAAGCTATGGAATACCGAGTAAGATAGTACAACTCATCAAGCAGTTCTATACAAACATCTCAAGTACCATCAACTCTGAAGCTGACACTAGTTTCCTTGTAAAATCAGGAGTAAGGCAAGGATGTGTTATGTCATCCGTGCTTTTTATAATTGTCATTGATAGGGTAATGAGAACAACCCTAGCAGAAAGTAACACTGGACTGAGATGGACACTATGTGCCACGCTTGGGGATACAGACATGCTGATGATTTAGCACTTCTGTCGCATACCGAAGATCATATGCAGGAGAAGACCAAAAAGCTAGAAGAAAATGCTAAAATGATTGGACTTAAGATCAATGCCAAAAAGACAAAGTTAATGTACCTCAACACAGAGAGACACCATGTCATATTTGAAGAAGGGAAACAGCTGGAAACAGTAGACTCATTTAATTACCTAGGAAGTTGTATAACAACAGAAGGTGGTGCTGAAAGAGATATAAAGATCAGAATAGGAAAAGCTAGATCAGCATTCAATAGGCAACATCTGGAAAACAACAGCCTTTTCAAAGAAGACCAAGCTCAGACTATATAGCAGCTGTGTATTATCTGTACTCCTATATGGCTCAGAGTGCTGGAGAATGACTGATAAAGACATCAACAGACTCTCCAGCTTCCATAACACATGTCTGAGGAAGATAATGAAAATATTCTGGCCTAACAAAATCTCCAACAAAGACTTACATGAGATTACCAACACCAAGGACATGGAGACTTTGCTGATACAAAAGAGATGGAGGTGGCTTGGTCATGTTCTACGCAAACCATCTGAAGACATGACCAAGGTAGCTTAGATGGACACCAGAAGGAAAAAGAAAAAGAGGAAGACCTAAAACAATATGGAGACGCACTATAAAAAATGAATTAAAGGAAAGAGGATATACCTGGGGCACAGTGGAAAAAAAAGCAAACAACAGAGAAGAGTGGAGGAAACTTGTCCTTGCCCTATGTGCCATAAGGCATAGCAAGGACTAAGTAAGTATTGTAGGTTCTCTACTTTATCTCTGAGGACACGAATGCCCCCCTTCAGGCTTTGCAATTTTCCAAGTTAAAAAGGGGCATAACTCTAAGGGTAAATGACTCACAACCCAAATTCCAACTCTGTCTGTGTGTTGTGGTTCTTAGCATTGTGTATGAGTTTCATAAAATATGCATGAGGCAAACTAAATTTAGAGTGCAGAAACGAAAATGGGACAGACAGAAAGACGGACGGACGGATGGTCAAGTGTAACACTTAATGCCCCCGTTGCCTATGGCGGGGGCATAAAAATTCTCTACTGCTATAATATTGTATAAGATACAATACTATACTCAAGGCATAGTCTATTGTATCTTTCTGGAGTTTATGTCTACATATATACTGTACCTTGATCCACCTGACATCGAAGTTTCTGTATTGTAGCCTGATTACCACTAATTCTATATATACCATCATGTTCTAACCCTGGTAAATAAAACAGAAATCATCTAACAATTCTTTATGGTCAAGCCAACCTAAATAACTGTGATAAATATTCAAATATATTTATAAAAACTTAAATCTATAACAAATATAGTATATAATTGTGAAAGTACATTTACATTTGCAGAGATTTAATAAAAAGTAAAATTTGTATATTATATGACAAAACTCATTTCCTTTATTTAATGCAGACATTCAAAGAAAGTCCCAGAAAATTATGAATAATATAAATATAAATATAAAAGAAATGTCTGTGTAAATGACCCAAGGATCTATAACCTAATGCAGAAGATGAATATTTAAATAAAATGGGTTTAAAAATCTTCACACACATATTGATAAAAAGACAGAAAAAAATTTAACTGTATTCTGGAATTGTTTAATAAGAACTTGATTTTTCCCCATTACCTCTTTTTTCTATAGCGGCCACACATTTGACTACAAACTTTGGTATCTTTGTTTTCTCTCTATCACAAATTATCTTTAATTCACCACCAAACATAGCATCTGCAATGAATATCATCTAGTAATTAATACATCTTAGGAAATCTTACGTGGAATGTATATATAAACTCCTTATTTTTATTAGAAGTCCATTAATTAAATAGAATTATGTTTTCATGGACATTTTAAAAGAATGATTTTCAATTCAATGTACCATCAAAGTCAAGTATAATTTGTATTCAATAATAATCTGTACACCCTTGCTGCCATGGGAATTCAGTAAAAACAACTTTTTTGTCACTTGGTGAATGGTAAGTTTCAAGTCATATATAGGCTTGAGATAAATTGTCTTTCCTAATTCAAAACTAAATCCGAAAATTTGTAAAGAGTTCCAAGGAACTCTATGTTTCTCCTGCTATGGCTGCTGTTAGAGTCAAAGTGTAATGCTGGTATCTATGATGAGTTTATTGTTGACAGCCAACTACGTCCAACCCGGCAAAATGGAAAAAACAAGAATGTGTCCATAATACACGGATGCCCCACTCGCACTATCATTTTCTATGTTCAGTGGACCGTGAAATTGAACCTGAAGCAGGACAGACGGACGAACGGATGGACATACGAACGGACACACAGACCAGAGAACATAATGCCCTACTACTATGGTAGGTGGGACATAAAAATATTTTCAAAATTTTGTCTGATACTGTCTTTTGATCATAAAAAAGTTTCTGTGAAATTTCAAAGAGGTTTGACAAAGTTATCAGTGTAAACAAATTTGACAACAGACTGAATGTAAGTGTTGACAAAGCCGACACCATCAGAATGTTTGATGGCTATGACTCATTTAAGCAACAAAATATCGCAGGCTAGACATAAATGTTAATAATTGTTTAAAGAACACATTATGAGTGTTAAAAAAAAACAGTTGACACAGAGATATGTCTCGCGTTTTGTAATTTTGATGGTATAATGCAAATGTTGAAATTAAAATGGCAATATTCAAACATGTAAAAAATTATATATAAATCCTAAATAAGGTCAGTGTGTGTGAGCAAAAATCACATATTTATAGATACTGCATATGAATACTGCTGAAAACAAAAAAGTCTTGTGTTAATTACTGTTTAATTTATACAACTTTAATATTTGAAGGACTTTGAGTAAAAGAGAACACTGGTAGCCGTCGGAAAATACAAATCAGAATGAATAATTTATTACATTCTGGACTAAATACATCGATAACAAGGTTGAACTATAATTTTTCAAATGCTACAAAGAGAGAAAAAAATTGTTTATAGTGAAGCACACCAGTATTTTATCCAATTTCATAAATTATTAAAATTATTCAGGGATTGAAATGAAATTTGGACACCCTCTACTTTGTAAACAAACAAACATTGCAGCAAACATAAAACATCATGAAATCAACATTTTCTCTAAATTCTTGCTTGTCCTAATCTATAATCTGCCCCCCCTGCCAGGCAATTTGAATTTTAGAATAAAAACCTGCTGGTTACAACTGCATTCAGTAAAACGACTTCCTTCAAAAAAAAATACTATAATAAAACTACCTTATTCAAGACAACTAAAAATCATGAGAATCAGTCAGACTTTCAATACAAGTTATGAAAAGTTGTTACCATTAAATATTACAAGGCTTCTGACCTTTGATTCCTACTTTAAACATGTGACATATGTGTTATGTCATAATGATATGAATGAAGTGATTCCTACTGTAAACGTGTGACATATGTGTTATGTCATAATGATATGAATGAAGTGATTCCTACTGTAAACATGTGACATATGTGTTATGTCATAATGATATGAATGAAGTGATTCCTACTGTAAACATGTGATATGATATGAAGGAAGTGATTCCTACTGTAAACATTTGATATGATATGAATGAAGTGATTCCTACTTTAAACATGTGACATGATATGAATGAAGTGATTCCTACTGTAAACATGTGACATGATATGAAGGAAGTGATTCCTACTGTAAACATTTGATATGATACGAATGAAGTGATTCCTACTTTAAACATGTGACATGATATGAATGAAGTGATTCCTACTGTAAACATGTGATATGATATGAATGAAGTGATTCCTACTGTAAACATGTGATATGATATGAATGAAGTGATTCCTACTGTAAACATGTGATATGATACGAATGAAGTGATTCCTACTTTAAACATGTGACATGATATGAATGAAGTGATTCCTTTTTAGCTGAAAAGAATACATTATTGACTGATTGTTGTAGGACTAATATTAGGAGGAAAATAAGTCCATATTCAGTAACTGCTAGCAGACGTTCTAAAAATTTTGTTTTTAAAAAAAATAATTATAAGAGGGAAGTGTTACCCTATATGTATTAAAGAAAACAAAGGTTTACAAAAGTATACCTACCTTTAATAATTCCTTTCTGTTCCAACAATTCCTTAGATGGTCGTTTAGAGAAAAATTTCTGTAACCATTTAGTCTGTGACTTTTCTAAACTATTATCAGTATTTGATGGAGTTCTAGAATGGAACACTGAAATATAGAAAAAACCCTCAAACCATTACATTCAGATTTCATATCATTTCAATAAAAATAAAATAAGTCATATAAAAAAACATATTGCTACTGCTTATCTTTGATACATTCCATAAAGACATACAAGGCAAAATGGGAAGGCACACTAAAATTGCTTTTTAAATTTAATGTAACATTCCGAATAATAATTCATAGTTGGAAATTACACAAATTAAAATACCTCCGAAGATAGAATTCAAATTGAACTAAGGTAATTATTCTTATTTTATTCTGTGTTGACCACATTTTAAAGTACAAAACAATTTTAAGTAGTCTGAACGTCACTTCTAGTAAATAAGTGGCAGGCAGTCATCGTGGAAAAACAGATCTACATTATCTAGACTATCTTTTTTATTTGTGCCTTTCTACTTAAGCCTCTATAACATTGTACATTTTGTCTAGTATTATTGTCATACACTACCAAATACAAGTGTTTGCAGTAAAGAGAAAGCTTAAATATGCTTTATCATTCTTAAAAGCATCCTGCAATTAAACCAATAGTTTGCCATTATCTTGATCAAGCTATTACATAATAAGCTAGAATGTCCTATAGCAAAGCAAAACATATTCTGTAGTATTATATATCTGAAGCACAAACTTGTTGATTCTCTATTATTTTACCTAAATTGTGATAATACATATTACAGGTATGAATATCTTTGTCACATATCAATTGTCTTTATTTATATAGATGTACAATGTTTGTTTTATTAAATACTGTAAACCAACTTATTTTCCCAGATATTTTTTTGCTTCAAGTCATTTTTCAGCTGAATTCGCAACGATTAACTTTGACGATTTTCTAACTTTGTGTATTCATATAAGAGAAGATAAAGGTTTGCCAATTTTGTGACAATTTAGATTCAAGCTTTTTTTTTTTACTGAAGAAAATATATTTATCATGAAAATAAGATAGTTAACAGTATCTAAGTCAACTGCCTGATTCTTTATTCCCAGAGAAAGTTATAGAACTGCTGATCTCATAATATTTTACTGATAATTAGGAATAGATCTAAAATCTGAAGTCATAACTAAGGGTCCGGAAACGGTCATATTTGCCAGTCATGTCCTAAGATGAAACTATTTGTCCATAACAAGCTATTGGGATTTAGGACAAATTTTATTTTTTTACAGAAGTAATTTTGATCATTTCATTGACTCAATGTTTGAAATCGGATTTCTTAATCGCCATTTTGCACTTGTGATCACTTGTTTTTGTTTATAATCCCTTTCCTGTAATAAAACTGCCACTACAGTAGTTTGATAATCCTGAGGGCCCTCCTAATATCTATATCAATGCCTCCAGGAAACATTGGCTAATGATAGCTAATCACTTTTTACCTGTGTTTTTAATTCACACCTGACAGTGATCACAAAGCTCAGAATAATATCTTTAAAACATTAAAGTTCCCTGACAAGTGTATTCATTATTTATTTACTTTTCATCAAAGACAGTCATCAATTCTGATTTAAAAATTAAATCTAAATTTACGTAGAAAAAAGTATTTTTTCATGAGTAACACATGTGCTTTATTTACTATGTAATACGCATGTGTGAAATTGTCTTCAGCAGATTTAATATTTAATCGTAAAATGCAAATTAATTTCATGCTAAATTAAACGAGTGAAACTATTATCTGTTATATTCAAACACTTTTAAAGGAAATAAAACTAGAGGCTCTCAAGAGCCTGTGTCGCTCCGGCACGTCTAAACACTGCTAAGGACTCCTTAGTGCACTAAGGACGTATACAATACCACTAAGGACTAGAAGGAGTGCTGTTATATGTATTATTTTTCCATATTATGTTAGAGATTGATATTTAATGCATAAATTTCAAATTTTATAGAAAAATAATCATAAATAAACGAGATATTCAACATAATTTAGGCACGTGTCGGTTTTTTTTTTTGATATGCCGAAAATCAGTGAACCGATTGACACGTGCCAAATAACATAACTGATTAAACAATCATAATCTTTTTATTTTAAGTAATTAACAATTGTATCGAAAAGATTAATGCTTAATATTTATAATTTAATGTGTTGTTCTTATTTAAAATGATTAAAAGGACAAATAATTTTGCTTTTGTTTTATTTCTTTCCCAACACAGTTATTTGCCATAGGTGCACGACTTTGATGTGCGCCAACTAATAAGTTAGAGTGTGGTCAGCTTGTTAAAATGTTTATGTAAGAGATATCAAGACAAAAGGAATAGACATATTTATAAGTGTTTTGTTTTTATTTTAACTCCGACAAAGATGCGTGAATATACAAATTGTTTCACTAAAAAATATGAGTAAATTCCGGAAAATCTATAAAACATGATGTTTGCTTTTCCACTTTCTATTACTGCTTTATACTTAGTACGAATTACGATTGAATTGGAAAAAAAATCATGTGGCGTCCTTGTGGTTTATCAAAACCACTAGTTTTCAACCAGTTTGATATCTGTTTACAAAGGCTTCGAATCATACGGTACTTATTTGTTAACTTTGTAATTGTTCGACATTTGTTTTTTTTTCTAAAAGTAAAAGAAGTTTAAAAAATCATTTATCGAACTTTAGTCAGATTAAGTTTCATTTTCAAATATATAAAAGATACAAATGTTTTTTAAAATGCTCCACAGTTTTTAGCACATTATTTACGAAAAAATTCCCGTATGTGTTAATTAAGAGCTAATGATATAATTTTGTCAGAAAAAGAGAATATAATCTGAATATTTATACCTAAATCTATCTATCACAAGTACTCTTTGTGACTTTACCATTCCATTGCCTCAGAGACATGCCAAGAAACCATGTCAAACAAAAAGACCGCGATTTTAAATATATATATATATAATATATTATATATAAATGTGAATATGAATTAAAATAACTTGTTCCAACGATAACAGTGTAATCAGTTATGTAATTTGACACGTGTCTAACGGTTCATTGATTTTCGGTAATATCAAAGAAAAACAGGCACGTGCCTAAACAATGTTGAATATCTCGTTTATTTATGGTTATTTTTTTATAAAATTTGAAATTTATGCATTAAATATCAATATCTACCATAATATGAAAAGAAACAAGAAATGATTGTAACAGGATGCTGTTACGAAGTCTCCCAAACGAAGCTCCCATAATTCGTAATTCCCAGGGTCGCCTGACATTGGGCAAAGTCCAGTGAAAATTGGTTTGGTCCAGTAAAGTTATATGCATTAGTGATGCCTGGGGACTAACCCTGTATATCATTCTAACCATCTTAGCATGACAAACCAGAATATATATGGTTTAGGGGTGGGGATCTTGACCACTTACACAAGATATTAGAACTTTCTTAAATGGCATGGGGTGGGGGTGACCCCTGGGGACTAACCCTGTATTTCATTTCATGTGCTTTATCATGACAAACCAGAATATATATGGTTTAGGGGGTGGGGATCTCGACCATTTACAAGATATTAGAACTTTCTCAAATGGCAGGGGGTCGGGATGACCCCTAGGGACTAACCCTGTATATCATTCAAACCATCTTAGCATGACAAACCAGAATATATATGGTTTAGGGGTGGGGATCTTGACCACTTACAAGATATTAGAACTTACTTAAATGGCATGGGGTGGGGGTGACCCCTGGGGACTAACCCTGTATTTCATTCCATGTGCTTTATCATGACAAACCAGAATATATATGGTTTAGGGGTGGGGATCTCGCCCATTTACAAGATATTAGAACTTTCTCAAATGGCAGGGGGTGGGGATGACCCCTGGGAACTAACCCTGTATATCATTCAAACCATCTTAGCATGACAAACCAGAATATATATGGTTTAGGGGTGGGGATCTTGACCACTTACAAGATATTAGAACTTTCTTAAATGGCATAGGGTGGGGGTGACCCCTGGGGACTAACCCTGTATTTCATTTGATTTGCTTTATCATGACAAACCAGAATATATATGGTTTAGGGGTGGGGATCTCGACCATTTACAAGATATTAGAACTTTCTCAAATGGCAGGGGGTCGGGATGACCCCTAGGGACTAACCCTATATATCATTCAAACCATCTTAGCATGACAAACCAGAATATATATGGTTTAGGGGTGGGGATCTTGACCACTTACAAGATATAAGAACTTTCTTAAATGGCATGGGGTGGGGGTGACCCCTGGGGACTAACCCTGTATTTCATTTCATGTGCTTTATCATGACAAACCAGAATATATATGGTTTAGGGGTGGGGATCTCGCCCATTTACAAGATATTAGAACTTTCTCAAATGGCAGGGGGTGGGGATGACCCCTGGGAACTAACCCTGTATATCATTCAAACCATCTTAGCATGACAAACCAGAATATATATGGTTTAGGGGTGGGGATCTTGACCACTTACAAGATATTAGAACTTTCTTAAATGGCATAGGGTGGGGGTGACCCCTGGGGACTAACCCTGTATTTCATTTGATGTGCTTTATCATGACAAACCAGAATATATATGGTTTAGGGGTGGGGATCTCGACCATTTACAAGATATTAGAACTTTCTCAAATGGCAGGGGGTCGGGATGACCCCTAGGGACTAACCCTTTATATCATTCAAACCATCTTAGCATGACAAACCAGAATATATATGGTTTAGGGGTGGGGATCTTGACCACTTACAAGATATAAGAACTTTCTTAAATGGCATGGGGTGGGGGTGACCCCTGGGGACTAACCCTGTATTTCATTTCATGTGCTTTATCATGACAAACCAGAATATATATGGTTTAGGGGTGGGGATCTCGACCATTTACAAGATATTAGAACTTTCTTAAATGGCAGGGGGTGGGGATGACCCCTGGGAACTAACCCTGTATTTCATTTAATGGGTTTTATCATTTAGAACATTTTCAATTAAAAAGATTGTGTCTATCACAAACGGTTTTCAATTTATAATCATTTGAAAATTTTAAAAAATAAAATCCCATAGGGTTCTATAGTAAAACCCTCTTTTCTTTTTGCCCCTCAAAGAACCCCTTTATAAACCCCATTGCACAAACAAAACCCTGATTGCACCACTAGACATGTTAGTCTAACATATTGTGAAACCCTAAGTTAATCTGACAAGCGGTTTTGGAGAACGGGTGCGGACAAGTTCAAATTTAAAAGCGGCGGAAGAGGAAGAGGAAGAGGAAGAAGAATAATAATAATAATAAGAACTGAGCAAAAACAATAAGTCTTCCCAAACTTTGTTTGGGAGACTTAATTACATGTAACAGCACCCCATCTAGTCCTTAGTGGCATATCATAAGTCCTTAGTGCACTAAGGACTCCTTAGCAGTGTTTAGACGCACCCGTGTCGCTCACCTGTATTTACTGATGCTTTGGAAATCATGTAAAATAAGGTTAACTCAGGGGCAGCAACCCAACAACGGGTTGTCGGATTCGTCTGAAAATTTCAGGGTAGATAAATCTAAATCTGATGAACATTTTTGCCACCTGTCAGATTTGCTCTAAATGCTTTAGTTTCAGAGATATAAACCGAAAACTCCATTTTACCCCTATGGTCTATTTTTAACCAAGTCGGCCAGGATGGTTGGAAGGCGGTGTCATCGGACAAATTTTTTAAACTAGATACCCTAATAATGATTATGGCCAAGTATGGTTAAATTTGTCTCAGTAGTTTCAGAGAAGAAGATTTTTGTAAAAAATTTACGAACTATTGTTAAAAATTGACTATTAAGGGCAATAACTCCTAAAGGGGTCGACTGACAATTTTGGTCATGACGACTAATTTGTAGATCTTACTTTGCTGAACATTATTGCTGTTTACAATTTATCTCTATCTATAATAATATTCAAGATAATAACCAAAAACTGCAAAATTTCCTTAAAATTACCAATTCAGGGGCAGCAACCCAACAACAGGTTGTCAAGATTTGTCTGAAAATTTCAGGGCAGATAGATCTTGACCTGATAATCAATTTTACCCATGTAAGATTTACTCTAAATGCTTTGGTTTCAGAGATATAAGCCAAAATCTACATTTTACGTCTATGTTCTATTTTTAGCCATGGCGGCCATCTTGGTTGGTTGGCGGGGTCATTGGACACATTTTTTAAACTAGATACCCTAATAATGATTGTGGCCAAGTTTGGTTAAATTTGGCTTAGTGGTTTCAGAGGAGAAGATTTTTGTAAAAAGCTAACGACGACGACGACAACGGACGAGCTAATAAAAAAGCCATAAAAAGCCGGTGACTTCCTGTCAATTTGATAAACAAAACAAATCACGGAAATGAATCCGGAATTATTCGTACTTTAAAATATCGCAAACTTCCGGTTTTAACTTTTGTCAAATCGAAAGAAACGTAAGCAATGTCTCAGAAATTAACCATTTTGAGTCATTAAAATCATTTCAATTTTAGACTGTTGCCTTCACTAAACTGTCCTTCATGGTAATGGTAAGACATTTACTTAGTAAATGCGATGAAACAGCAATACAAGTTCGTCATGTTCGTTGATGCTATGAATATAGTCAAGTTGATATCGACAATTTGAAAAGGGGCACCAACTTTTCAAACATCTCAAAATGACCGAAATTGTCTGGAAAAATTTCCGGATCCTTGGTCATAACCCTGCAGGTCATTATGACATTCCCTGACTAATACTGCTACATGTAAAGCACAAAAGATATATGACCATTGAGCATATGCAAAATGCAATAAAGTCATAGATTTACCCAAGTCCCAATTTAAATAAATTTAAGCAGGTTCTCTATAAAACTGTTTAAAACCAAACATGAAGCATGTATATTGTATGACATAATTTGGCCTTCTGAATGCATTTAAAATCCCTTTTGCAATTCAAGTCTTTTGCAAAATAAGTGAGCATACTGAAACATCTATAGGATCTGTATCTACTCATTATACAATTACATAGAATTTTACATTAAAAGGCTAAAAGCAATTATCAAAAATATATAGGACAGTACAATATAAAATAAAGCATTCACAAAATAAAATATCTATGTATTGTTATGTATTGTCAAAGGGAGAGGTTTGTGCGCACAAAAAACTGGTTAACCTCACCACATTTTGTGTCTACATCAAGTGACATTCAAGTCAAACTTTTTTTTTAGAAGGAGTCCGCTGTTTGTGGTTGATGTTGGTCTGTGGTACTGTGCAGTATTTTTGACGAAATTGTTTTATCCCATTTTATGTTACTACATATATAAGTGATCCTTTGACTAATATTTTAGGTAGAGGCATAAAACTATTTAACAGATAAGATATTCAACTGATGAGATATTCCCCCTAAAATCTACTTATAAATTTATATCTCAATAAGCTGAAAAGATAAAGACAATTGATATAACTGTGGCAGAGAGGATTTCATGCTAGGATTTCATAATTATTGTATAATCTGGCAGTTACAGGGAAAATGTTAGTTTACCCAGTAATCTTTCATTTATCCATGCAGATCATTTATTTCTGATAAAATAAAAAGGCCAAGCTATGCCATGCCAACAACTTCATGTAAGCTCAACATATCTGCCATGCACTATCATAGAGATTATTTTTATTTTTCAACTTTTAAAACAGTATGTATAGTTTTTAATATTTTGTTGGGTGGTTTTGTTAAATTGATGTCCACAGGGTCAATATCTATCATAAATTGCTGAGGATAACGTTCAGTAAAATGCAAGTCAAAGAAATGTTCAACGATATTCAGGTGGGAATAAAAAGTTTTAAATTGCCAATGAAATATTAATGTCAAAAGTAAGTTTTGAATACTTTCTTTTGTTTTCCACCCATGACAAATGAATTAAAAAGCTTTTAAAATTTTAATAAAAATAGCATTGGAAAGATTGAAATCTTCTAATTTCTTGTGAACATAAGAAATATTGTACAAAATGGATATAAAAAGTAAATTTATCAATTACTTTTATACATTATGGCAATTTACTCAAAATTAATTATGAGCTAATTTACAAGGTACTATAATACTCCATCAATTACTTATAAAAAAACACTTAAATTCATTTTCAATGAACAAGAGTTTAAAACAGAAACATGAAAAAGTCAAAAATTTCAAGCTAATTCAAAGACAAGTACTGCTTTGAGCTAAGTTATCTGCATGGATAAACAACAGATTTCAGATTTAGACATTTTAGAGTGGCTTCAGGAATATATTAACTAATTCCCAGGAGAATGGTTATATTCCTGAGTAAAAGTTTATAGAAGCAAGACATAAAAGCCAAAACCATGTCTTGCAGGGCACTAACGTCTCTTAAATGAAGTTTTTCGTTTCAGTTTGTCATCATCTTCTTCAGATTCTGGAGGCCCTAAAGAAAATTTTGTCATACCTTCATTTGGTTGATTGCCCTGAAATATAAAAATATTTCTTTTTAGTTTAAAAACAGAGGTTTTCTTCGAGCCTTCATTATTTTGAAGTATGAACTCACGTTAGAATCATGCAGAGTTACAATTTTTACACACTCATACCTTACATAAATCAAATTAGATGATATTGAATGAGAATACACCGAGATACTTATAAATGCAAGAAATGTCTCCTGATCAAATAACTTCACTTGTCTAACACCAATATCTTTTTTTATCATCAGCATTCCAATTCTGTGTATAAGAAGTTGCAAGCTGTAGCACTTTTTTTAATAAATAATTTCATGAATTTTAAATCAACTGTAAAATTACAAATGAATAAGAGTTGTTCCCCTTTTAACAGACTTTGTACTATTTTGTTGCAATGAAAGTTCAAAAGGTGAGCTCACTGAACTCCATCCCCTTTTATCTGCATGTAACATTTGATTTGTAAAAATACAATTATCTCACTTTTAACAAACATGTAATCTAACTTGAGTATTACAGTGGGAATAATAGTAAATTAATAATTGAAACTGAACTGAAAATTTAACCAAAATCTAACTACTTCCATTGAAAGTGAGTAACTTATAAGAAAACATGTATCATATAAAATAAACTAGCTGTATTTTAAACTTTTCAGATAGTACGACAAATATCACAACTCCTCTTTGAACTCGTGGCAGCATGTTCTCCTCAGGTGCAGAGTCATGGGGTTAATTCCTTACAAAAATAAATCACAGACTATAAGACTGAAAGACAGCATAATCATGGTTTAGTCCCATGTGGGACGGTATTGATATGGGATCTATAATGTACCAGTTTTGTCCCATCATTCGTACCAGGATGTTGTACTTCTCTTTTATATTTTGTCAGCATATTTCAATACCTTTGTCATTTTGAATAGATTTTGATGTATTACAACGGTTTATCAAAGCGTAACAATTATCACTTCTTAAAGTTAAAGTATTAAATTTTTACTTTTTAGTGTCTTATATATATATATAATCCTGGTTTCGTACCACCTCTAAGTAAAACCATACTGATTTAACACAGAGGTGAAACGAAACCGTGATTATATATAGATAAGTGTATTATATATAATCCCGGTTTCGTCCCACCCCTATGGAAAACCATACTGATTTAACACAGAGGTGGGACGAAACCGGGATTATATATAGATAAGTGTCTTATATATAATCCCAGTTTCGTCCCACCCCTATGGAAAACCATACTGATTTAACACAGAGGTGGGACGAAACCAGTATTATATATAGATGTGTCTTATATATAATCCTGATTTCGTCCCACCCCTATGGAAAACCATACTGATTTAACACAGAGGTGGGACGAAACCAGGATTATATATTGAAAAGTATCTTATATATAATCCCAGTATCGTCCCACCGCTATGGAACACCATACTGATTTAACACAGAGGTGGGACAAAACCGGGATTATATATAGATAAGTCTCATATATAATCCTGTTTTCGTCCCACCCTCTCTGTTAAATGTAACAAATTTTCATAGCAGTGGGACGAAACCGGGATTATATATAAGACTCTTATATACATATAATCCTGGTTTCGTCCCATCCTCTATGTTAAATGTAATAAATTTCCAAAGCTGTGGGAAGAAACCAGGATTATATATGAGACTTATCTATATATATAATCCCGGTTTCGTCCCACCCTCTATGTTAAATGTAATAAATTTCCATAGCACTGGGACGAAATCGGGATTATATATGACACTTATCTATATATAATCCCTGTTTCGTCCAACCTGAATGTTGAATCATTATGGTTTTCCATAGGGGTGGGATGAAACCGGGATTATATTATATTATAAGATAATCATTGAAATTTTTTTTTATCCATCATTTTATAAATTATACAACAGTTTTCTAATTTCCATTTTTTATAATATGTATAATATTAATTTTTTTTTAGGAATCCACAAGAAACAGGATAAAAAGGAGAAGGAACCCTTACACAAAGGACAATTTCGTACCACTAGCATCATCTGAAAAACCTCGCAGAGCATTAATATTAAAATAAAATTAAATTAAATTAATATTTCAATATAAGATGTTGTATCTTAAAAAAAGTTTCATCCCATTAGGACGAAACCATGATTATGCCTGAAAGACTTGTCTTGACAAACACATCCATTCATCAAAGTTGTATTTGTAACTTCTATGATAGAGTGACTTACGAACTCATTGATTTTTATTTCCAGCTGTATATATAACTTCTGAGCTGCTTTGTCATCATCAGCTTGTATTAAGTACTGGTCCCCATGACTGGTATTCAACTGGTAATAAAATAATAAAGGACATGAGCTACTGACAGTAATTTATTACTTATAAGGCGTTATATGAGAGAAATTAATAACAATGCAATTCATTATATTATCAGTGATATTAGTACTTTTCTGTAAAGTTTAATGAATAATTGTTCCCTTTTTCTTTAAAATTGTATGATTAAAACTGGAACCAAAATTGTAAAATGAATAGTTTTATGTATTAGAGAATTTAAGAAGCAGTTGATTCGGAAACAATAATCAGTCGCAAGTTGATTATCATTTCCAAATCAACTACTACTTGTAAATTCTCTAGCTTAACCCATTTGTGATAAAACGACTGTCTATTTTCCATTTTGACAATAAATCAAGAGAATTACACAAAGATAATTGCACATTTTGTCTATTTTAGTCTTCAATAGTTGGAAATGATTGTTTCCACATGGTTCACATCTATATTTAGCCATCTGAAAAGTTAACAAAAGTTAAAGATACTTGAAATTTTATAGATCTGTTACTGGTTTATTCTGCAATTGTTCAGATAGAATATCTAATCATAGCTGTTAGACATTTTGTATAACCAAGATTAAGGCAACTGTTGTCTATTAAAGTCTATTAGACAACCAAAATTAATTATTTGAAAGTGAAGAATCAATTGTGCTCTAGTCTTCCATGTATAAAAATGTTAATTTTTCATTTTAAAACCATCTCGCCAGTAGCTGTGATCGTATACCCGGTAGTCGTTAGTTACGAATGTCATAATGGTAATTATCAATGATACAGAATTCAAACCGTGTACCTGGACAGATTTTTTTTTTCCATTTTTTCTTCTCATTATAACAGTTTTGTGGTTCTATAGTTTTATATTGCTTTCATAGTTAAATTGTGTTGTATTGATGTTTCATTTAGAAATGTCAAATGTTCCATGGGTTAACAACACCTCCCCCAATAAAAAAAAAACATAAAAAAAAGAAAACAATATTATAAAAAAATAAATTGCTTCGCCAAGCACAGCTGGATATGACCGCAGAGGTCCAACCATGAACAGTTGGGGCAAAAATGGACACAATATTTGCGCTTGATACTGGTCTGAATTTGGATTGTAATTAAATATTTGACACATAATAGGTTTCTGACACAGAATAACTGTAGTCAAAGAACTTAGAATTGGTTATATGATTTGAATTTATATTCAATGGTTTGCTTTTGTGCAATACACTATTCTGTTGCGAATTGACACCCCCCCCCCCCCCAAAAAAAAAATTCCTTAATCAGCATTTTTAAATAGTAGCTTCTAAACAAACGCGGTCGTATAAAAACTAGTCAATATAAATATTGGATATAAATGAAAGACGTTCATTGTCTACTAGACAGCTATATAATTTTTGTGCATATGTATTGACAATGCATTGTTGGGTTTGATCCCTACTTTTTTTTATTTCAAAAAATTATTTTTGAACTTCCTTATTTCCATCAAAAATCAAATGTATATCATTTGAAAAGCTCAAGAGAAGATGCACTTAATTAATTATAAAAATAAGAAGATATGGTATCATTTCCAAAGAGACAATTATCCACCAGAGACCAAATAACCTAGAAGTTAGCAACTAAAATGACAAATATTAAACAATTCAAACAAGAAAACTTCAAGTCTCATTTATGTACAAAACAATAAATGAAAAAAAAAATGAAATACAGCAACAAACAACAACCAGTGAATTACAGGCTCCTGATGTTTTTAATATTTGCTTAACATTTCAGTACATACTAATAAAATAGGTTGGTGAAAAGCATCATGGAATAATGGGGGATACATACTTTATTGCATACAATAAGTAACTTACAACAAGGACATTGCGTTTACTTGACACCTCTTTCGTTGCTTTTGAAACCTGACAACCTTGCAATGGGATCATAAAATCTGATTTTCCAAATGGAGATCCTGGCACACTCTTTGCTGATTTCATATCTTTGTAGAATACCAAATTAGATGAAGATAATTTAGCATAACAAGTAACCCAGTTTTTCCTAAAATAAACATATTTCATTAATAGCATTGTTTAATATCAGCATACAGCCACTAGAAATTAAATGACAAACATATTTTGGTTGGAGAATGAGTGAGTAACCATCTGAACAAAGGGACTCCTTGAGGAGCCAATGTGAATGGATTGTCAAACACTATCACATTTCCCACTGAGATGGAAAGTTTTTTAGTGTGGAATAATTGACGATTGATTAACTGATTTTTGGTATTTAGCACTATTAGCCAGTCAATTAAGAATGCATCTGCCACATGAGGGGTTCCAACTCACAACCTCAGTGTTGATAGGTTAGTAATACAGTAGTTGAACTACTTATATCACTCAGCCATTTTATATACAACTAAACACGTATTGCTATCACAGTATTACCAATTACGGTCTTACATCCTGTGAATACTTATACTTGGCATTGCGCAAGGTTATAGTTTCCTGACACTGCTTAATATATATATTATTCAGGGAGGAGATGGGATATTTATTTGTTGAAATTGGGCTTTGAACTAGCTGTCAGAAACTGAAAGCACTCTTAAGATTGGTATCATAAATTCAGAAATTAATGTGTGCATTTATCATTGCTAATCCTTGATCAGTGGCAGCAATTAAAAATCAAATTATTGCGATTGCACAAATTTTATGAAGGAAATCACTACTGAAATAATGAATTTTTATTATTGATACTATTTCATTTTTCACTTATTAAAAACATTGCAATAATTTCTGGTTTTACAGTTTCTTTTGTCTTTTTGTTATTTGTTTTTGTGCTTAGTATCAATCTGATGAGACAAGCCCTTTCCAACAGATTTTAAGTTTGTTATGTTGATTCAACACTATCCAAGATAAGAGGAGGGTTGAGTGCCCATAAAAGTAGTAAAAAATAAATGGGGAATGTGTCCAAGGGACACAGATGATGCCCCCGCTTGCATATCTAATAAAGTTATAAAGGGATATAACTGAAGAAAGGTAAAAGTGACGCTACTATAATTTGTACTTGATCTGAGTTTTGTGGTAATAATTATTGTGTATAAGTTTCATAACATTTGGTTGAGACAAACTAAAGTTAGATAACGGAAACGAAAAATTCACCAATTTTTGTTTATAAAGGGGCATAACTCAAGAACAGTAAAAGTGACACCACCTAATTTCAAACTTGATCTGTATTCTGTGTTAATGAGCATTGTGCATAAGGTTCATAACATTTGGTTGAGGCAAACTAAATTTTTGTGTATAAGGTTCATAACATTTGGTTGAGACAAACTAAAGTTAGATAACGGAAACGAAAAATTCACCAATTTTTATGTTTATAAAGGGGCATAACTCAAGAATGGTAAGAGTGATGCCACCCAATTTCAAACTTGATCTGTATTATGTGGTAATAAGCATTGTGTATAAGTTTCATAACAATTGGTTGAGGCAAACTAAAGTTAAAGAACGGAAACGAAAAATTCAGCAATTTTTATGTTTATAAAGGGGCATAACTCAAAAATGGTACAAGTGACACCACCCATTTTCAAACTAGATCATTGTTTTGTGGTAATAAGCATTGTGTATAAGTTTCATAACATTTGGTTGAGGCAAACTAAAGTTAGAGAACGGAAACCATCTTTGGGACATACGTACGGACGTACAGACGGACAAGGGTAAAACTTAACGCCCCCTCAGCTGCGGCGGGGGCGTAAAAAAGTATATTGTATGTGTAATACAATCAATGGTAATAGTTTTATATCAGCTATTCATGATGATATCAATATTAGTCACAGTTGCTAAGGCTTTATTCATCTGATGAGTTAAGCATTTTTCAACTGATTTTTATAGTTTGTTCTTATGTTGTACTGTTACACCACTGTCCCAGGTTAGGGGAGGGTAGGTGCCTTCAAACTAGTTTAACCCCGCCACATTCTGTATGTGCCTGTCCCAAGTCAGGAACCTGTAATTCAGTGGTTGTCGTTTGTTGCTGTGTTACATATTTGTTTTTCATTCATTATTTTGTACATAAATTAGGCCGTTAGTTTTCTCGTTTGAATTGTTTAAATTTTGTCATTTCGGGGCCTTTTATAGCTGACTATGCAGTATGAGCTTTGCTCATTGTTGAAGGCCGTACGGTGACCTATATTTTTAATTTCTGTGTCATTTGGTCTATTGTGGAGAGTTGTCTATTGGCAATCATACCACCATATATTTATCAAACCCCTTATCTGTATAACATCATGTCACATGAAAAATATCTATTTGGGCATATAATATAGATGACCCGGTATATGATATGGCTTTTTCAATATCAAACACTGTATCAACCCTCAACCAATATAATTAATCCTGCAGAGCTCTAAATATGATGATAGGAATAATATTGGTGTCTCATGTTGATATGGGTGTGAAATGAACAAATCCAAATAATATTCTCCATATATAACCTCATTGTCTTCAAGGAGGACTAACAACTGAAGAAAACATGGTTATTTTCTTACATTGTAAGTCAAAGGGCCACAATCAGGCTACAGAAGGTTTATCATAACAAAACTTGATAGACATAGAATATGGCAGTGTAAAACATTTTTGTGAGCACTCAACCCTCCCCTGACCTTGGACAGTGGTGTAACAGCACAACAAAAGAACAAACTGTGAAAAATCAATTGGAAATGGCCTGACTCATTAAATTGGCTAAAAGCACAACAAACAACTAACATAAAGACTTAAAACACAAAGTACCAATCTAAGTGTACTGGCATTTATTGGAAACTAGTTCAAAGCCAATAACATCTAATAATTATCAATCTGTATTAAAGATATTTTGCTTTTAATCTATAGGCTCTGAATTATTCATTTATATATTTATTATAGTGAAATAACTACTCAAAATGTCTAAATAATTCCCTGAGTAAACTATGAAGTACTTACTTGACCTTTTTATTGCTTTCCAAAATTTTGGCCCTGCTAACTGTTCCTGAAAAAGGTTCCTAAAAAGAAAATAGATTAAAAATATAGTCTCTGAACTCCTTTTCCAATATAACATTTTCAAATAATTCAAACATTATTCAATCTTTCAACTTGTTACCTTACATCTTATCACCATGCTGATCCCATATGTGGAATAATTAATTAATTACCCAATCCAGAAGACATATCTATTATAATACATGTGCCAAATAACCTATATGTACTGATGTTTTCTCTGTTACATTTTCTACTATTAAGAAGGTTTTAATTTGTTTGATAAACTGAAAGGAATTCTTAATGTTTCTAATCAATTTCAGTAATCAATATTAACTTTTCATTTATTTGTGTTCCATTAGATTTACAATCCTTAAGGCCAAATGATACATTTAAAGGGAAGGTAATGATGTCACTAACATAAAATGTTATTTATTTCGCAAAACCAATCTGTGATATTTTTGGAAAAGATGCATTTTTCAACTGATTTTGATCATTGGCTTGAAAAACCTTGTACCAATTTTTACAAACAAACCACTGAAGAATTTTTATTTGAAAAAGGTAAATATACAGGACAAAATGCAATTTTTTTCTAAAATCATGAAAATGTTTATAAACATAAATTATTTCCAAAAAATTGTTACACAAATTTTGAGCATACTTGTGTAAAGAAGATATTTCACATATTTTCACAAAAGTTTGCTTGTGTTTATCTTTTGAAACAAAAAAGATAGGTATGTCTGTCCAAAAGATAGAAATGAGAAATTTTGAGTAAATGTATAAATTTTCCCATTTATCTATAAAGGTAGCACATGAAGGTTTATTTTTTATTAAATTTTTGAACTGACTGGGTGAAAAATAGCTTGTATGCAAATTTTCGTCAAAAGTTCACTGTGGGATCAAAACTGTATCATGTGCCATTAATAAGGTCACATATAAAAACTCACATGAAGGGAGTACAATTTACTACTTTGGATATATGTCATTAATAAGGTCACATATAAAAACTCACATGAAGGGAGTACAATTTACTTCTTTGGATATGTCATTAATAAGGTCACATATAAAAACTCACATGAAGGGAGTACAATTTACTACTATGAATATGCCATTAATAAGGTCACATATAAAAACTCACATGAAGGAAGTACAATTTACTACTTTGGATATGTCATTAATAAGGTCACATATAAAAACTCACATGAAGGGAGTACAATTTACTTCTTTGGATATGTCATTAATAAGGTCACATATAAAAACTCACACGAAGGGAGTACAATTTACTACTATGAATATGCCATTAATAAGGTCACATATAAAAACTCACATGAAGGGAGTACAATTTACTTCTTTGGATTAGTCTACCTTTCAAGGTAATCTAGAAACTAACCAAAAACACTTATTTGCAAATTAATAAAGCATTAAAATGAGTTATGGGTTAAATAATTCATTAAGGATAGACAACACATCTGTGTTCTGATTATACACTCCAATCTTAGCTGACATATCACTTACAGTGACAAAAATCTCACATTAATCTATGAACTATGGGATGAAGTAAAGGTCAGTTGTCAGACTGGCATGTACACATAAAAATGATTTTAGTTGATTAAAACATACATCTCCCTTCAATGCTGTGGACTATATCTGGTCAAAGAAGTAAAAAAAAAAAAAAAACTGAATTTTTTTTTTAATTTTAATTTAGACAATATCTCTTAATTATAAAAACAAGAGAGCACACACTGAAATGTCTCGACTGCTTTACTAACTTTGATTGATTTTATGTTAATGTCCTAAAGACAAAGTTTTACTACAACTACAAGTATCCCATAAACTTCAATGATTCATGGAAATGAGGTCAAGGTCAGATAAACCAAGCCAGACAGACATGTGCATCTTACGAAATTCCATACACCATATATAGTTGACCTATTGCTTACATTATACAAGAAACAGACAAAACCACGGAAACGTAATATTGACCAATGAATAATGATAATGAATTCAAGGGCAGATGATACCTACCAAATAGACATATACACCTTACAATCATTCCATACACCAAATATTGTTGACCTATTGCTTAGAGTATTAGATAAAAGAAGAATGTGTCTGAGGACATGAATGCCCCACTCAAGCTTTGCAATTTTCCAAGTTAAAAAGGGGCGTAACTCTAAAACGGTACATGACTCACTGCCCAAAATCGAACACTCTCTGCATGCTGTGGTTCTTAGCACTGTGTGGGAGTTCCATAAAATTTGGATGAGACAACTTTAGCAAGAGTGCAATAAACAGTTATCACAGTGATATGTCTCGCTTTTTTGTAATTTTGATAATGCAAATGTTGAAATTAAAACATGTAAGTTTTGCAAATATTCAAAGTCAATGAACCATGACTGAAGGTACATGGCTAAACAATCTCCATGGAAATGAGACGTGCCAATGCTAATACAACTGCATACCAAATACCATTGACTTATCATAAGTAGTTCCCTTTAAACAAACCTAAACACAAACTAATACATGTAAACTAAGCAAAATTTCAAAGTCAATAAACCATAACTGAGGGGGCAAGGTCAAATAATCTCCATGGTAATGAGATGTGCCAATGCTAATACAACTGCATACCAAATATCATTGACCTACCACTAGTGGTTCCCCATAAACCGACCTAATCACAAACTAATACATGAAAACTAAGCAAAAGTTTCAAAGTCAATAGACCATGACTGAGGGGGCAGGGCCAAATAATCTCCATGGAAATGAGATATGCCAATGCTTATACAACTGCATACCAATTATCATTCACTTACCACTAGTGGTTCCCCATTAACTGACCTAATCACAAACTAATACATGAAAACTAAGCAAAAGTTCAAAGTCAATAGACCATAACTGAGGGGGCGGGGCCAAATAATCTCCATGGTAATGAGATGTGCCAATACTAATACAACTGCATACCAAATATCTTTGACCTACCACTAGTGGTTCACCATAAACTAGACCTTATCACAAACTAATACATTGTTGACGCCGACGCCGGAAACAGCATACCTATGTCTCACTTTTTGACTCCGTCAAGCGAGACAAAAACTGAAAAATTTGAAATTTTCCAAGTTATAAAGGGCATAATGCTAGAATTGTAAATGACTAACTGCCCAAATTTCGAACTCTGTCTGCGTGTTGTGGTCCTTAGCATTGTGTATAAGTTTCATAAAATTTGAATGAGTCAACATTAAGCAACAGTGTGGAAACGAATAAATTTGCAATTTTCCAAGTTATAATAGGCACAACTCAAGAATGGTAAGGGACTCACTGCCCAAATTCGAACTCTGTCTGCGAGATTTGGTACTTAGCTTTGAGTATGAGTTTCATAAAATTTGGATGAAATAAATGGAGAATGTGTCTATGGGACACAGATGATGCCCCTGCTTGCATATAATGTTATAAAGGGACATAACTCAAAATGGGCGTATAAAAACGGTAAAAGTGACTCAACCCAAATTCGAACTTTATCTGTGTTTTGTGTAATTAGCATTGTGTGTAAGTTTCATAACATTCGGTTGAGGCAAACTAAACATAAGCAGTCAATAAACCATGAAAATGAGGTCATGGAAAAGAGACATATGACAGACGGAAACTTCGTAACACAAGGTATGAAGCATCCAGGCCTTCTATCTTCTGAAATATAAAGCTTTTAACAAATAGTTTACACTGCTGCCTCAGCCAGATTGTTATCCCTATGTCTTGCACTCTGGGACTTTCATCGCCAAAAGTTCATAAAATTCTATGAATAATTGACAAAATTATTGATGTATATAAAACTTTAACACCAGACTTTGTCTTAATGTCAGCTGCAAAAAAAACTAGCCTAACAATAAGGATAAGTCCTTTTAACGGTATCAATAAAATACAGGAAAAAACAATTAAAAACAATATTTTCAAAATTTTGCTGTATCTTTTGAACACAAAATAGCTTTTGTTCAAGTTTGGTCAAATTGCATGAAGTTTTGACAAAGATATTGATGTCTGGAAAATTTTAACCTTAGACTGTACTTTAAAGATGTTCGCTCCTGTTTCAAAATAACAAGCTTTTTAAAAGACTGTTATAAATTGATAGTATATAAATAATGGAACTTGAAAAGCAGAAAAAAAATATAGGTCCATGTCCTTGTTTTTGAGATATTATCAATTGAAAATTTGGCATGAAAATATTCTCTCTAGATTTTTCATACATTTAACATTGGCATCTTTTTTGTTTCAAAAACTATGAAAAAATAGCAAGGATTTTATAAGATTTTGAAAAATGGCTTTTTAAACTATATGAAATAAAATAATGAAAAGAAAAGTAATGGTTAGTGGGCAAAATTTTTATTGGCATTACATGGATAAAATCAGAGGATTCTGAATATCTGACAAAAAGTCAAAACCAAGAGTAGCGAACATCCTTAATATATACTTCAAGTCCATTTATCCTAAAACCAGAAAAATGAAAAACATATCTTTAGAATTTTGCTGTGGATATACTATCTTTTGAACATAAAAATTCTACTCTCCAATTTTCATAAAAAATTCCATGAAGGTTTTTATACAAAGTTGATGATGTAATAAAACTTATACAACAGACTGAACCTAAATATTGCTGCCGCAAACATAATGTAGGATCGCTGTCTTCCTTCCACTATAAAATGTTGCAGACTCAACAAAAATGGAAAGAACCTTGTTATGCTATACACCTGTATAGTAATAATTGTTCATCATAAGGAGATAAACCATTAACAACAAGCAAACTACCACTAACCTGCTGGGGTGTGTATGAAGTTTTCTCCGCATTGGAGTCCTATAGTATAAAGAAAAGGTGGTCATGCATAATATATATCTGCAAATATTATATACTGCAAGAATATCTTCAATTTTCATAACTTGTCAAATTGAATTTGATTATTATCTTAATTCTTACAAAATCAAAATAAAGGGCATTGCTGAAAGCATCATAATATGACATTACTCATTTATGTGAGAATGGTAAACAAGTATGCATTATTAATAATCCAAGCAGATATTTAAGAAAATATTATGTGATAAAATTTCATATAAGTGTATTTTAGGAAAGTATAATATTTGTCATGTTCTTAAAGCAAACTCTTCAATTGTTATGTTTTGCAGCTGTTAAAAAAATTAACAAACATTTGTTTATCCCCTAAGAAATAAACATGCATTCATGCATATCATTAAGTACAAAAACATGCAAGGTTTATATATTTATAACTGATATGTGCAACAAAAAGCATTAAAGCAAGGCAATGGCAGTTTGCTTGTTTTTCTTGCAAGGCAGAGGCAATAAGCATTGCAGACACTAACATAAACACAAGGAAAGAACAAAGATTTTGCTTAAGAAACATCCACAAATTAGATACAACAATGTATATTTTTACAGAACCTTAAAGCTCTGTTTACCCCTGTGATAAAAGTAACTGAAATCCGCCTAGGACCAAATTTGTTCTTAACCTTAACTACTTAATCATTATAAAATGTAATTTAATATTCACACATTTAACAGATCTATCAGTAAATGAGTTTACCTCACAAATTAGATTCAGATTTAGTATATCGGATTTGTTGATGCATTACAAAACCTATATGTGTTTTTTTTTATGATTGATATACATAAAAATAAATCTATTTACAAATTGAAAAAAAATTTTGGTCTGTCATTCCAGATAAAGTTTACATAATAGATAAATCCATTTACAATAATTTTGTCAAAAAATAATTTGTTTAACTTTTTAATTACAATTCTCCGTTGATTAATTTAGAAATTTATTAAGAAACTAAGTTCCAACTTTATCAGACACAGGCCTCGACAATAACGCTTGTCCGATTGTCCGGTACCAGAGGAAAAAAAGGTCGGACAAGTAAAAGCTAGATCAAGCTTGTCCGACGGGACAAGTAAAATTATTCTGCAGAAAATAAATTTAATCCAACTTTGATGAACAAAGTAATTATAAACAAAAAACAAGAAAAGAAGATAAAAACAAGTATTAATTTGACATGTTTACTTGCAAACCGATAATTTTAAACTGGATCTTTGTCAGGTACTTTTTAATAGGTAAAAGGCATACTATTTTCGGAAACCAGTTTTACTGATCCGAATCAGCGATGCGCTTTGTAGAAAAGGTAACTTTACAAGACAGTTCTTCACCAGCTCGGAAACAATTCGGCTCCTAAGTTTAATAGACAGTTTGGCACCGTAGGAGACATATTTAATAGACATGATTAATAGACAGTTTGGAAACGCAGGAGACATTTCGGGACCAAGACAAATCAGTACCTGTTTTCCTACCTTATTCTGTTGCTTTATAATAAATACCATACCGGTAATTTTTTTAACAAAAATATTTTTTAAATAAAAAAGAAGAAATTATTTACCATAAAATTCACAAAATCATATTTGATCATATGTAGAAAGAAACAATACTTGCAATACGGTGACCTATAGTTGTTAATTTCTGTGTCATTTGGTCTCTTGCAGAGAGTTGTCTCATTGGCAATCATACATCATCTTCTTTTTTTTATTGATTGCATTTGAATAATCATTTTTCAACTTAAACAACCAGGATACAAATCCAATGAGTGTACATTGACAGGCCTATCAGACGGTGCCTCATGTGCAGAGTCTGATGAGACTTTGGCATTGATGAAAACTAGAACCTAAGCCCTGTGACATGACTAGATTCAGTTGTTCTCGACTCATATTTTTGAAAAGTATTTCAAAAGATATAAATCAAGTTCTGTTCTGTTGTTTTAATTCATTTTGTTCCTTGGATCAACTTATTAGGCAAACAAGGTTATTATTAAGATTTGTTTTGGACAAGTTCCAATTTCATTCGGACAAGTAAGTTTTGGGTTGTACTTGTCCTACTGGACAAGTTGGAAAAAAAGTTATTGTAGAGGCCTGAGACAAAGTTGACAGTAGGTGGATTTGGCTAATCTTTTAGGTTCCTTCTGGTCATATATGGCACCTCAAGTATTTCAATATTCATCCCTGGGTTTTAATTTTTGAGTTTGAGCATTCCTGGGTTAATCCAAAAAGGGCTTCAAACACTCAAATTTAAAAAGAGTTACTTTAATTTTATTTTCAATAATAAAAAAAGATTCATATCTAATAGTTACAACTGACCAATCTAATGCAATCAAGAAGTCAGTATTTCACTTTACAATTATTTCGGTATATTATAAGTGATATATATTTGACACTGGTCGGTAAGCAAGCAACAATCAATCAATCAATCAAAAGGAAAAAAATAATATTTCAGAATGTATTTACTCGTATACATTTTACAGAAAACTATGATTAAAAACCCTGATTTCTTTGATGTCTGAGAAACTAGTAATGCTTCTTATTTAATATTTATTTTATTGTTAGAAAATCTCCAGCAATAAAAAAAATAATAAAATCAACTGACCAATCTTCCTTGTAGCCAAATGTAAAAAATGTCAACTAACAACATGATAAACAGAATGATGTGTAAAATATAAAGCCAAAGCAGTCAAATAATGCATTTCAAGCAAATTTAAATGCCAGGAGGTGCAATGTCGAGAAAGCAAAGGTTAATTGAAATTTATATTTTTTACAAAAACTACTTAAAAATTAACAATATCTAACCCAAACAATATCCCTATGTGGGTTACCAAAATACAGGGATTTCTTGTCTGAAGCAGCATCATACAAATAATCAAGAGTATGAATTGAAAACTTCTAGCATTCAAAACTGATAAGTTTAAGACAATATTCAATACCAAAAAACAACTGTTACCCTATTCATACAAAAGAGGGGTACTTAGGCAAAAACCAGTGCAAACACTGAACAACAAAAACTTACACCACCAGCTTGTGTATTCAAATTGTTTGGCAAAGTCTGTGCCCTTGGTGGGGGGCTTGTTGGAAAATGTGGCATGACTTGCTGGAAATTAACACTACTTTCAATAAACATGGACTTGGCCTTTAAAGAACGTCCAATCTGTGGTGATCTACCAGTCGTGTTCGATCTGGATGATGATGGGCTGGCCTGAGGACTTGGTAACTCCATTATCACATCCCCATTGGATTTTCTGTTTGTCTGTTGAGGTAGAAAGGTATGTTAGTAATCACAAAAGCAAACAAAACAAACACAGTTAGCTTATTATTATTGAATATTTCATGCCTGAGGAAAAGAATCTTGTTGTTGAAAACAAAAGAATTGTTATTGAATGAAAACAGACTGTAATGCATCCATTTTTACAGGAATAGTAAAAATAGAAAAATAAACAGAGTCTTAACAACAGACAATTTAAATGTATAGTACTTAGGAATGAAGTTTATTAAGGCTAAAGGGAAACAGCAATGTACTGTGCTCTTGTTTTCAAATAAACTATCTCCATAAATTCCAGTAGTTCTGCATATTTCATAAAGTAAGTGCTCGAGCAATAGAAAAGTACTGTTCACTTATGGCTCTCCTGTTACTGTCTAAGATTAACTATATCAACCCAATATCTTATTGATTAGATTAGCTGTGAGCATTATTTTCTGTTTCAGAAGAAGGTCAATTCTGAAGGCATTTTGTATCATCAACAATAATACCTTAAGGAGATTATAAGTAAATCATTTAACCTTAGTTTAGTAGTTGTTGGAACTAAACATGGGGGTTTGACATATTTTCTTTTTTTTCTAACATGCTTGTGGATTGTGGATAAGGTCATCAACAGAAATATCTGACAATAATTTGTAATAGCTGAATTTTTGTCAAATTTGTTTATTTTGCCTCCTTAGTTGAATGGTCTGAACATTAAAAACAAGTTTGGAACAAGACTAGGGTGTTTGTGAAAGGTTTCAATTTATTTTTTATAGAATTTGTTTACACACATATTAATAAGGCAAAGGAGACCAAAAGAAGAGCTAAAAATCTGAAACTTTGAAAAGATCAACCGACCAATTTTACTTAAAATCAAATTTAGAAATTTGAAAATTTACCAATCTGCATAAAAAATTGCTTCTATAGGCCAAGTTTTTGTGTTTCCAAATGGAATGATGAATTTTTAAATATAGAAAGTCTTTTTCTTTTCCCTATCAAGCTTGAATCAGACTGGAAATGTAGTTTCAGTGAAGAAATTGTAATGGTATCAAACTAATTGCAAATTCTGTCACAAAAGTCAGTCACATGCCAAATAACATCAACATCTTACGTGGCTTTTGCATATTGATGTTAACTTTAATATGATTATGAACACTGTGCAGACAACTAACCTAATCAGTGATATTGAGCCTGAGTGTATTCTAATGTGATAAATTGAATTTTTTCTTGAAGAAATTATTTTTTTGTTTAAACACAAAGGGATTATATTAAAATCAATACAATGTTAAAACATAAATGATATAGACAACATGCAATTTTTCAGAGAGTTAATTTGTTTAAATGCATGTTATTAAGTATTAAACATAGTTTCTAACACTCGGAACCATTATAATCCAAACCTTTGGTAGTTCCCATGCCACTTCAGTACTGCCAACTTTGTAGAAGTATCTTTTACCTTCAGTATTTATACTACTCATCCACTGTAAAATAATAAAAATTATTTACTGAGATTCATCATTATTTAAACCTTCCTAGATCACTGGTATTTGTAATATGTTTCTTGTTCTATATCTCTTACATCCATGCAATAAATGTTAGAAAACAATGGGATCATACACAAACAATCCAATACACCTTGTTTACCTACTATATTATAATATTTGCCTGCACCTGCCTACAAGATGTGATGATCCTGTTCTTTTAGTACCCAGCATGAGATATAAAATTTTATGTAAGCTTATGTCAAAATTATATCAAAGTTTTTATAGCGATTATGGATTCAATATTGACCCATCCAGTAAAAAAAACCTCCATAGCTTCCTCTGATTGTAACAAAAAACAGACTTTAATGTACTAAAAATTCGTAAGGGTTCCGCGGAACCCAGTGTCTCGCCTACTTTTGCTGTTAATCGCAGGCTCAACAAAAATGAGGAAAAAAATAAATAAAAATATTCCTCTCTATACTATCTTTTGATTGTTAGTAGCTTCTGTCCAAGTTTGGTAAAAATCCAGGATAGTTTATGAATCTAATAAATGTTTTAAAAACTTAAACTGCAGACTGTATGTAATGTTAACTGGAAGAAAAACAAAGTCCATTTATAAGTAAAATACGGAAAAAATCAAAAAAATTTTAACAAAATTTCCTTCTAGATACTAGCTTTTAATCATAAACAAGCTTCTGTCCAAGTTTGGTACAAATCCAGGATAGTTTAAGAAAGTTGTTAAAATTTTAAAAACTTTAACCACTGAGTGAATGTAATGTTAACTGGCAGAAAAACTAAGTCCATTTATAAGTAAAATACGGAAAAAATGGATTTTTTTTTTTACAAAATTTACTTCTGGATACTATCTTATGATCATAAACAAGCTTCTTTCCATGTTTGGTAGAAATCCAGGATAGTTTAAGAAAGTTATTAAAATTTCAAAAACTTCAACCACAGAGTGAATGTAATGTTTCTTGGCAGAAAAACTAAGTCCATTTATAAGTAAAATACGGAAAAAATGGATTTTTTTTTTACACAATTTACTTCTGGATACTTTCTTATGATCATAAACAAGCTTCTTTCCAAGTTTGGTAGAAATCCAGGATAGTTTAAGAAAGTTATTAAAATTTCAAAAACTTTAACCACAGAGTGAATGTAATGTTTCTTGGCAGAAAAACTAAGTCCATTTATAAGTAAAATATGGAAAAAAATGGAATTTTTTTTTTACAAAATTTACTTTTGAATATTATCTTATGATCATAAACAAGCTTCTGTCAAAGTTTGGTAGAAATCCAGGATAGTTTAAGAAAGTTATTAAAATTTCAAAAACTTTAACCACAGAGTGAATATTTGTGGACGCCGCCGCCGCCGACGACGACGACGCCGACGGAATGTAGGATCGCTATGTCTCGCTTTTTCGACAAAAGTCGAAGGCTCGACAATAAAAATAGGAAATGAGGCATCAAAATTTTTTCAATTTAACCTACTTTGCCACAAATGTAACTGAATGTAAAGCCAGAATACCTTGTACACAATATACCATACTATGACAAATGGATACCGAATTTTTTGTGTATAGTATAGAGTTGTACAACAGGAACATTGATAACAGTATACAAGTAGTCCAAAACCGTCAAAATCCCATTACTTCCATGAAAATGGTCAAAAAATGGTGTTAAAACACAGTCAACTACACATGGCAAACAATCATGAAAAACATTCTTTGGTGTTGTTTAATTTGTTATTTATTTTGTGTTTTTGTTACCTATTACACTGATTTTTTTGTAAGAGTTAAACACTTTTCCTGGCACATGTACTGGTTTTATTTGCATAAAAAATAAGATGGGGTATAATTGCCATATAGACAACTCTCCACCATAGACCAAATGACATAGAAGTTAACAACTATAGGTGTTAAGTATGTTTTGTTAATCCATTGATCAAGATTAAAAAGAGGAACGTTTTTTTATGTGCTGATCTAGGTTGTTTTACGTACTCGTTTTTATTCTGTAGTTAGTCACCACTTCGGTGTTAACATGTATATCTATTATATAGTCATTTTTATAAATTTACTGTTTGCAAAAATATGAATTATTATAAATACTAAGGATTTTCTTATCCCAGGCATATAACCTTAGCCGTATTTGGCGCAACTTTTTGGAACTTTTGGTCCTCAATGCTCTTCGGTTTTGTACTTGTTTTGGCTTTCAAACTTTTTTGATCTGAGCGTCACTGATGGGTCTTATGTAGACGAAACGCGCGTCTGGCGTATTAAATTATAAGCCTGGTACCTTTTGATAGCTACTATTTGTGTGTGTCTCTGTCCTGTATGTTCTCCCATTTATTTGTATTGTAGTCCTGTCATGTAATCTTGTCATTTTAATGTTATATTTAACATTGCCATAAAAGCGGGAGGTTTGGCTAGCCACAAAACCAGGTTCAACCCACCATTTTTTTCTAAAAAATGTCCTGTACCAAGTCAGGAAAATGGCCATTGTTATCGTATAGTTTGTTTCTGTGTCTGTTGCATTGTAATTTGTGTTTTGTTCACTTCATGATTCTGTTGTTTCGTTGTCGAAATGTACTATATTGTATTGTTTATTTGCGTAATTCTCTGTCCCGAATATTCTTGCATTTATTTGTACTGCATTCCTGTCATGTAATGGTGTCATTTTAGTGTTATATTCAACATTATCATAAAAGTGCGATGTTTGGCTAGCCACAAAACCAGGTTCAACCCACAATTTTTTCTTAAAATGTCCTGTACCAAGTCAGGAAAATGGCCATTGTTATATTATAGTTCGTTTCTGTGTGTGTTGCATTTTAGTGTTGTGTTTCTGTTGTGTTTCTGTTGTTCTCCTCTTATATTTGATGTGTTTCCCTCAGTTTTAGTTTGTAACCAGGATTTGTTTTTTTCTCAATCGATTTATGAATTTCGAATAGCGGTATACTACTGTTGCCTTTATTGATATCTAAATAAATTGTTAACAAAGAGATATTTCTCACCTTTTTGTTATTTGACAGTAAAATGCATATATTGAAATTAAAAAAAAGCAATACTTAAACATGCAAGTTATGCACATTATTCAAAGTCAATGAACCATGACTGACTGTACAGGGCCAAACAATATCCATGGAAACGAGATGTGCCAATACTAATACAACTGCATACCAAATAGCATTGATCTACCACTAGTGATTCCCCATAAACTAACCTAATCACAAACTAATACATGTAAACAAATCAAAAGTTTCAAAGTCAACAGACCATGACTGAGGGGGTGGGCCAAATAATCTCCATGGAAATGAGATGAGTCAATGCTAATACAACTACATACCAAATATCATTAACCTACCACTAGTGGTTCCCCATAAACTGACATAATCACAAACTTATACATGTAAACTAAGAAAAAGTTTCAAAGTCAATAGACCATGACTGAGGGGGCAGGGACATATAATCTCCATGGAAATGAAATGTGCCATGTTAATACAACTGCATACCAAATATCATTGACCTACCACTAGTGGTTCCTAATAAACAGACCTTATTACAAACTACCGGTAATACATGTAAAATAAGCAAAAGTTTCAAAGTCAATAGACAAAGACTGAGGGGGCAGGGACATATAATCTCCATGGAAATGAAATGTGCCACATGCCATGCTTAAGGTACTTATTATAAGGGGAATATGAGATCATGCTGTTTTATACTCTAATATCAGTTGCTGTACTTTAGAGAAGATTGCATACAGCAATACCATAAACAGAACCAGAAGACAAATAATATTTATAAAATATAGTTGTGGAAAACAAACCCGTTCTTCTGTATCTTCATTAGCATAAACTGTGCCTTCTTTGGTTTCTTCCACGCACCATCCTTCTGGAATGTCAGTTAATGTTTGATCTACATTGATTTCTGGTAAAATACCAATCCCTGTTCTATTGACCTTGGCATCCAACTTAGCTGCCTGTAAATATACAATAAAAGTTACAATTTACAAATGAACAATGATGATAATCAGTCTCTGTAATACTATTCTGTATAACTGTTAATGCAACAAATTGAAAAAAACACAAAAAAGTTATATACTTCAACAGATCTTAATATGACTTACAGAAGATGTCTGCTATTTTCTTTATCTGGCAAGTTGTATATGTGATAAAAGAGGATTAGGTTAGCACCTTGAAGTACCCATCACACAACAAATAGGCTGAATAAAATCAAAATCCTACAGTTCTTGAAACCTTTGCTTAGTTTACAGCCCAACAATGTCCACTAATGTTAACCTTTTATTTTGTAGAAATGGTGAACACAGTCGCTTATCTGTTTGAAATATCAACAGATTGTACTTGTGTAAGCCTCACCCTCACCCCACCCCCAGGCTTAAATGTCAGGTGTGATTGTGCACACTACTGCTAAGAAAAAGCTATTTACTGCAAATTATTCAAAAAAAAAAAAAAATGGGGAATGTGTCCATGGGACACAGGTGATGCCCCCGCTTGCATATCATATAAAGTTATAAAGGGACATAACTGAAGAAAGGTAAAAGTGACGCTACCCAAATTTTGGTTTTGTGGTAATAAGTATTGTGTATAAGTTTCATAACATTTGGTTGAGGCAAACTTAAGTTAGAGAATGGAAACGAAAAATTCAGCAATTTTTCCATTTGTAAAGGAGCATAACTCTAGAACAGTAGAAGTGACACCACCAAAATTCAAACATGATCTGTGTTTTGTGGTAATAAGCATTGTGTATAAGTTTCATAAAATTTGGTTGAGGCAAACATAAGTTAGAGAACGGAAACCGACTTTGAGACGTTCAGACGGACGTACTTACGGACAGACAAGGGTAGAACTTAATGCCCCCTCCGCTACGGCAGGGGGAAAAAATTTGTTCTACTTTGGTACTGATATGTTTTATTTTTTAATAATTTTGGTCAAATGACTAACATACAATGACCTATAGTGTGGTACATAACATTTAATTCTAATATGACAACCTATATATATCGTCAACCAGTATAATCACAGTATATATACTTTTAGCCCAGACGCAGTAATACACAAAATTGGCTGTTCCATGTTACACCCATCTTATATATACGACCAGGTAAACTCAATTTTTGACAGTTAAACTTGCATTTTTACGGTTGACAAAATTACTGTATTTGTCATTTTAGAACAAATGACTATTCCAGACAATTAAACAAACAGTTCCCTCCATGAATCATTCAATCTTACCTTTAAGAGATCAATAAACATGTCCGTCTAACAATAATTTCTGAATTAGGTGCCATGGTTTTGTCACATCAGAAGTCATTTCAATATTTTGTTTCCAATCTAAGATTTCCAGTGATCATTAATCTCAAATATGTTCATAACTATGATGGCACTGAAGTTTTACAGATGTTGTCTTTCAAAGAACAAATGTAACAAAATACCATGTCAACATGGGTTCCCAATACATTTGCTTGTACAATGCAATGAAATACATTTAAGGAAGTTAAAAAATAATCCTCCTTGGGGGATTCTTATACTAGACAGCTCTAATTAGCTTACTTTTTTTTCACACAAGTCAAATTACAGGAAGTTCTATTGAAAATACATATCATTATAGATCACAGACGAGCGCTTACTTTTACTCATTATACATGACTGTACAATCTTTTTACAAGTTGAAACAATTTCATAACTTTATTTATAAGGAAACAATTTTGATGTTCAAGGGTTATAGTGATTTTTCAGTTACCACCTTCTGTTCAAATAGATTGAGTGTTTAAAACAACTTCCTTATATTCCTGACGAAATACAAGTAACTGTGTGTAATCAAGTTATGCAAAGGCTTTTCTTTCTAAGGAGGTGCACAATATCATTTTATGGTTGAATTGTTAGAAAATAAATGTGTTTCAATAAATTGTTAGAAGGGGTTTAGAAGAAGTTGCTGATACAAAATGGGTTACCCCTGAATAAAACGCCAAAGAAATGGAATAGATCAGTCATCAGGCCTATATACTAATTTGGTTGTCAATTGTTCACAAAAATTCATGTTATCAACTGTTATATAATAAGAATCTGTCAATTACAGGGCTGTTTTAGGGGAGTTGCTAATACCCCCTCAAATAATGCTATAAAAAAGTCCATGCTGTAGTAATGAAAACCCCCCAAAACATATTGGACCAAAATAACAATCAATAAGAGGTTTACATGGCATAGTAGAGTAATTCTATCTGAGAAATTTTCATTAAATCATGATTAGGGGTTTAGGAGCAGAAGCAGATAAATTGTGTACTGTGATAGGTGAAAATATGACAATGTCCATGTCCATGCCGTCCCAAAGTAAGCCCCAAAAATTATTCAGACGAAGAAATGAAAAAGGAGGCGAAAAACTTCATCATATGAGTAAGATTCTGTGAAAGTTTCAGCAAATTCTGTCCTGTTGTTCAGAAGTTGGTGATACAAAAGTGCGACAGAAGGATGAATGGACGAACAGACAGAAAGAATCCTCCATCACTACAATAATGTATCTTTTCTGAAAACTCAATCTCAAAGTCCAAAATAATATTTAAAATATCCAAATACAAATGTTCAGTGTACATGTATATACAAATGATATTATTGTAATCCTCAAGTGCTTATGATAAATTTAATGTTATCTGAATGATTGTAAAACAAATCTATCCATCTTACCATTAGTAAAGGGTGATTATAGGATAAGACTATAGCCATTATTGTACTAACATCCTCCACCAAATATTTCTAACAGGAAGTTACACTTTTCAAAGTGTATTTCTAAATATTGTGAAGGTCAATTCACTTTTATCTATTGGTTTTTTATGGTGGAGCGATATAGGAATGATAAGAATAAAATTAAATAATATTTTCAAAGGAACAATGTTCGATTTATGTAAAAATGGAAAAAATAATTACAGCATTTGACTAAATACACACACACTTGCCCAATTATTTCCTGGATTTTAAAGTTGTCTTCCATCACATAAACTTTAGTAACAGATAATAGAATATGCATGTGTTGACTTAAAAGTTTTCTTTAAAGAATAAAAGTACATAAACGAGACTAATTTTAAATAATGAACTGTAAAAGATCAGTAAATAATTTCATTGTCTAAAAAAAAATATATCTTTACTTCAGTCAGAGGCAGTATTAACATATGTTCATTACTGAGTCTTTTTTTTTGGTGGGGCAAAACTTAAATTATAATATTGAGTGAAAAATATACCTTGCTCTAACTGTTTGTAAGTCTCTCAGCATGAAGGAACTGGCTTAGATGAAAGACTTAACCAAAGAAATAAACATTTATTGTAGGGCTAAGTTACAAACTTTCAGTAGAAGATCCATCGGTCTACCTAACTGTACATAGGTAAAATTTCACAGACTGAAGTTGATAAACCATAAATCATTAATAAAGGTCAGATACTTCATCAGTTATCAAATTCTCCCACATGCATCACAATTCTAAGTTACGAATTTGTATCTTGCTTTAAGTTTGAGAACATTGCTACCATGAAAAAATTAATCTAAGTAATATATGCACTGTGAGCTATTGCTTCCTAATAATACTCCCAGTTAATATTGTCTATTGACTCTTTTTAAAAACATTGTCACATTCTAAGGCAGAACGAGATGGAGTTTGGTGCAAAATAACAAGAAACCATGACTTTAAGTTGCTGAGAAAATTGTGACAATTTTTGAAAGATAAGTTTTTGGCAATCAGGAAGTAGAAAGACAAGGCTTTCTTTTGACCCCCTTCAAATATCTATGCTTAATCCATCAATAAGAGAGGTTCAAAAGGAAATTTCCCAGGACCAGAAAACCTGTTACCCTGTATGGCATTACTAAATTAAGCATAGTGCCATATATGAAAAATCTGATGGAAATATGTTAGGGACAAATGGATGCATGGACAGACAGACAGTCACAGAGGTAAACCAGCTGACCTGTCATGTCGACCTAATAGAAAGCAGGGTCCATATTCATATCAATCTGACTAAAATACAGATCCTGTGTTCAAGGTTTGCTTATACGGATCTGACAACACTGTTTTGCAATAGATGCACTTCAAAGGGGGAAATACCAAATAGTCTCAATGGAAATGAAATGTGCATAAGCAAATACATCTGCATACCAAATATCATTAACCTACCACTAGTGGTTCCTCATAAACTGACCTAATCACAAACTAATACATGTAAACAAAGCAAAAGTTTCAAAGTCAATAGACCATGATTGAGGGGGCTGGGCCAAATAATCTCCATGGAAATGAGATGTGCCAATGCTAATACAACTACATACCAAATATCATTAACCTACCACTAGTGGTTCCCCATAAACTGACCTAATCACAAACTAATACATGTAAACAAAGCAAAAGTTTCAAAGTCAATAGACCATGACTGAGGGGGCTGGGCCAAATAATCTCCATGGAAATGAGATGTGCCAATGCTAATACAACTACATACCAAATATCATTGACCTACCGCTAGTGGTTCCCCATAAACTGACCTAATCACAAACTAATACATGTAAACAAAGCAAAAGTTTCAAAGTCAATAGACCATGACTGAGGGGGCTGGGCCAAATAATCTCCATGGAAATGAGATGTGCCAATGCTAATACAACTACATACCAAATATCATTGACCTACCGCTAGTGGTTCCCCATAAACCGACCTAATCACAAACTAATACATGTAAACGAAGCAAAAGTTTCAAAGTCAATAGACCATGACTGAGTGGGCAGGGCCAAATAGTCTCCATGAAAATGATATGTTCCATGCTAATACAACTGCATACCAAACATCATTGACCAACCACTAGTGGTTCCCCATAAACCGACCTAATCACAAACTAATACATGTAAACGAAGCAAAGTTTCAAAGTAAATAGACCATGACTGAGGGGACAGGGCCAAATAATCTCCATGGAAATGAGATGTGCCAATGCAAATACA